TACTAGTACTAGTACATTTTATATACATCCATTGTACCTCCATTCAGACACTTACAGATGGCAATAGAAAAGATATTTGAACGAACTGCATATACATTATGTGCATTTTTACCAGAAATCCCGAATATGAAAATAAAATGTATTAAACTGACAGAACACGTAGAAGAATCAAATGAATATCAGGAGATAATTAAAACAATTAATAATGATGATAATGAAACATCTACGTCAAAGTCAGAACACAAGTAGGTAGATGTCTTGTGTTCTGACTTTGACGTAGATGTTTCATTATCATCATTATCAATTGTTTTAATTATCTCCTGATATTCATTTGATTCTTCTACGTGTTCTGTCAGTTTAATACATTTTATTTTCATATTCGGGATTTCTGGTAAAAATGCACATAATGTATATGCAGTTCGTTCAAATATCTTTTCTATTGCCATCCGTAAGTGTCTGAATGGAGGTGCAATGGATGTATATGGCTTACAATGAAACCATATAACATTGGAATGGTTAGGTAGCACTTCTTTCATAGCCTCTTAAAAAAATATAAAAGATTGATTTTTTAATGATTCCGTATTATTCTTTGACTTAAACGTAAAAATATATAAAAGAATTAATATCACAATAACATTAAAATGTCAAAACATTTAAAATGTCATTTATCATAAATTGTTTCAAATAAAAAGTTTAGCTTCTACTTCAACTAATAATTTTATTTATCTGTTTTTTTCGCGGTTTCATAGGTATTCCACGAGACTATAACTTATCTAAAATATGAATTGTAAACCGTGGTACTTTGTCGCGGTTGCATCTCGTTTACGCGCCGCGCTTTTTATTGTCTATCGATTTCGTGTAATCTGTTTGATTTTTGGGAAAAGAGAGAAATTTGTACGACTTCGGCGTTCGCGCTGTAATTCGCTCTGTCGTTGTTCGCGACTCGAACGGGCGGGAAGTAAAGAAAGTCGCTTATTGCACGTCGTTACATTGTGTAAATGTAATCGAAAATCATTTCGATTAACTGTTGCAATTAATAACAACTATTATCGTTGGAAATTTCGCTCACGTAATTTATTTCGCGGATTAGATTGAATGACAAAGATTGTAAAATATCGTTTCGTTGCGGACTAACAACTACTTCTTTACCGCAGATTATGCTTCCGATGCTCGCGTTGCGTTTCATATCGCCAATTCAAAAGTGATTTATCCATTCTTCCGAATCAAAAATGCAAGTTGTTAGTTTGAGTAATTTGTATGGCAGAAAGTCACGCGATATTTGTTAATAATATTTCGTGCGTTTCGCGGTATTTCACATCGCGTACGGGAGTGCCCGAAATTTCGCGCGATCGATGATTTTCGCGAGTGAATGTTGTGTCAGTGCAACAAGGAAATCTAACAAAGGAGGAAAAGGCCTAAGAGACATCGGGCAACGGCGGAGAAATCGTGAGGTAAGTGTCTTAAATTTTTATGTTATTTAATTGTTACTTGTGCAAAATAAAGCATCTGTTCCGTGTTTTTATTTTATTTATTCAAATGATTCGAACGAGGATTCGAATAAGTGTTAGAGACAAAACCATACGTATACAATTTTGTGAGTTTACATTTAAAAGGAAGACTTTTTCAGTATTCTCTATAATTATCTCAATAAATACCTTTTTTCAAATATAAAATATGAATTACTTTTTATTTTAAATTGACGTTGCGCATACAATTATTTCTTTACATGATGTACAGAAATTCTTAAAAGTATACAATGCTCAACTACAAACTGCGCGCGTTTTGTCATCTCTGGTAAATAAAAATACATGTGAGACAGTGAATTTTTAATTATTTTCGGACGATTGTGTCTCGATTTACCGTTAACTCAGTTGCGTTTATTGTACGGTGTCGATGTTAAAAAGTATAATTTTCAAGCTTTCCGTTCGTTAACGGAAATGTATAATAATCTTGAAATTTTTCTTTTATTAACGGAATCATACAAATGCTGGTCAGAATGCAGAACTTTGAGTCAAATTTCATCGCGACGCGTTTAATTGAAGAATTAAATATCAATCTTATCCGTGCTTAATTATATTGTAATATTTACTCCTCGACAGTTTAAATTGATACATCAGCGATTTCTGTTGATTAAAATTCGGCAACCCTTCATACGTACGCATTTTATTTTGTGGATATACAGCACGGACTGCTTTCGCGAGAAGATGAAAATGATCCGGATTAAAATGACCCTGTGCTATGATTGGTCAAATCTGAAATTTCGTAGCATCACATTGAAATTTTATTCAATGAAATTCCAGATTTGACCAATCATAGCACAGGGTCATTTTAATCCGGATCATTTTGATCTTCTCGCGAAAGCAGCTCGGATTAGATCTGAAACTACGTTACCCAGTGGGAAAATTCACGAACGTGGCTATGTAGTTTGACGTTCGCGAGGAGAGGCACAGTTGGCGCCTCTAGTTCAGTTTGAGTTTGCGTTTCGTCTTACGCGATTTATTTATTAATTTGAGTGCGCTCGTAACACCGCAAATAGATTTAACATGGTTAGTGCTCCTCGTCATCGACGAGGTACTGAAATAACAGATAAATCGCGTTGATATTGAACTATGCAGGTGCGGGATTAACGCAATTGACATTTTTAGGTTATACAGCATATTTTTGCGGCACCTTAGTATGCGATATCGTTTCACAACACTTTGTCCTTTTTTATCGATGAAAGCACCGCTAAAAGTGGCTCGTAGCCGATCAGAGGTTATTAGCTTTTAGAGGCTACTTTTAGAGGCGCTTTTATCGCTAAAAGAGAATTTTAGAATACAGGCCTTTGTATCTAATCTTTAAGGCCCGGTCTGCAATAAATCATTAGTCCTTTTTTTTAAATTCTCCCTTTATGGGAACGTCGTCGACCCATTAGTCACACAGCGTACTCTGTCCTCTTAATTGTTCCTTTCTTACTATCTTCTTCCCTGTATTCTCTTCGCTTTACTTTGCCTTTATGGCTACTTGTCCTCTGAGTCCTATCAGTTGCCTCTTACGACACGGAAGGCTAGCCGGGTGATCTATTCTACATTTGAGTCGTCAGTAAGAAGTCGGGACTATATGTCGGTCCTTTCACCCAGAAAGAAAAAGGATTGACAATACAGTTCCGATTTCTGATCAACAACTAACAACTTGTTGTAGACCAGGGACTCGATCATGAATCTTTTCACGAGTTCACGCTAGAGGAAAAGACTCGCGATCGAGCCCCAGGCCTAAAACGTTGGGCGACGATAATTCATGACTTCTGAGAAATGTTGGTGTGATTGATCTTTTTTGTGTTTTAGGGCGAAGGCGAATTGCAAAATTGGAGCCCCTACGCCAGAGAGTACGATCCGCTGAAGGCGGGTAGCATCGACGGGACGGACACGCAGCCTCACGACAAGGCTATCAGCAGAGCGATGCTGATGCGCTACGAGCCGCCGCGCAATCTGGAATCCAAGTCGGAGAGAACTATATTTGTAGCTAGGCTAGGTCCCAAAATCACTAATAACGATCTGAAAGAGGTAACGTTACCTTTGTAAGACGATACGTTTGGCATTTTAATTGTATCCTGCATTATCGCTTGTAAGCCTCGAGTTGTTACTGTTTAGTTCTTTGGCAAGCACGGCGACGTTGTTTCGGCGAAGGTGATAGTGGATGTGGTGACCGGACTCTCTCAAGGGTACGGTTTCGTGGAAATGAAAAGCGAGGAAGAGGCTAGGAGAGCGTTAAGACGAACCGCCGATGCGACATTAAGGGGATACAAAGTATTTATCGACTATGAGTGCGGTCGTTCCTTGAAGGGATGGAAACCGCGTAGGCTCGGTGTGTAATACAGCAATTAGACGTACGCAATCTTCGTAGACATGGGCAGAGGATTTTAACTGCGTGTCATTTTCAGGGGGTGGTTTTGGCGGCAAGAAGGAGTCGGGGCAACTGAGATTCGGAGGAAAGGACAGACCGTTTAAACGACCGATTGTACCCAATATTTTAAGGCCGAATAGATAAACATGTCTGCCCGACATTTGCGACACCGTTTTCACTCTACATTTTCGTTCCTACCCTCCCACTCGTTATTCTAACTAATGCATTGATGCAACGACGCACGGACTAAAACTTTTGTCACGTAATTTGAGAAGCGTTTACTTCTGGAATTTTCACCACACTGCGTCGCGCTATTTTAACAGCAGAGGTCGATGTGTCCATAAAAAAGAAACCCAGTCAGTAAAATGTCAGCAGATTGGCAGCAGATTCGTCAGAAACCCACGCCAAAACCATAGCCATCTGTGTCCGCGTTTGGCTTTTGTTTTGGCCAACAGAGTCTGTAAAACATACGCTATCAGCAGAAACCGAACAGGTCCAGTTATGTGAGTAGATTGTGTTGTATTTCTGCTGACGTGCTGGCAACATGTCGAATATATCAGTTCCTCTATGCACTCTGCAGTCTTTCTGCCTTCAAAATATGTAGTGGGCATTCGACGAAGTCTGTCCTGACGGATATCTGGGAATCTACGAAACGTTTAGGTCCGGTTTCACCGACGTTGTTTAACTTTAAGCCTAGTTTAATTCGTTCTTTGTCTCTTTCCAACTGTTACTTTAGAGAGAGGGAAACGTGAATTAAACCAAGATTAAAGTCAAGCGACGTTTGGTGAAGGCCTTAATGTGACTCGCGCAACGACTATCGGACGGGCGCGTCGTGTTTCATCTCCCGTCGTAAATCGCGCGGTCAATTTCGCGGCGAATCATCGAGAGGTGGTCGCGAACACACCGCAGGATCGTATTCGCGTTCGCCGGCAACTTTATACCGCATCGTCGCCGTCTCCCACGTACTCCCTCTCTCCATATAAGGAGGCACCTCGCGATTCGACACAGTGCCGAACTTGAGCTTCCAGCGCCGACGACAACGGCGGCGACGCGCTGATAAGGCTGCCTTCTTCCTTCCGCTAGTTAAGGCGGCACGAGACACCCCGTGCCCTTCGACGGGACCCTAGGCAGCCCACGCTCGCTTATCACGGCTCCCATTTTGTCGCTCAGACTCCCCGATTTCCCCCCCGGGTTGCCTCCTCGGTGCAGTCTTTTCTTCTCAGCGAATATGAGTCGCGAAGGATGTCTGTCGACAACGTGGCGCGAAAATGACCGAAGTTACGACACGACATTTTGTTATCTCGATCTCTTTTTATGTAAATACGATGATGATTCGATTCGTCTTGTTTAGATTTAGAAAAGTGTCGCTGTACATTCTAAGTAAGGAAGGCAGTTGCCTACAAAGGAGCACATTTTTTTATAACTTTAAGAAGCAGTCTTCAACTTTATGCAAAATGGCGTCGTTATAATGTATAATATTTATGATCTCGTAATCTATTTCATCTTATATGGTCTTTAAAAAAGAAACGACGTCCGTATTAAATCGACCTTATTATAGAAATTATATTAAAGATTAAAGCGTAATCGCGCTGGGACGTTAGGACCAGCGGATCGCGCGCAATTACGTGCGCAATTACACGCGTGGGAGGAGAACGAGCGGGGACCTCGCTAGTTTCCGTCGCGTTCTAAACTTAAAAGAGCAGATTCTCAGCAGTCGAAGCGGTCTTCACCGGGTATCGCGGATCAGCCGGTTCACCATTGTCAACCGGCGTCGGGAGGTGGGGGCGTGAGATCGTAACAGGCCTACTTTTGGAGCAATCGTCCGTCGAATTGGCCGACGGCGGAAGAAGCGGAGTCGCCGCCGCAGGAGGAGCCGGAGGTTCGCGCGGCGCGCGACTACGCCGGCGAGAGGCACGAAAATAGTATCAACCAGGATCGTATCACTCCCGGTGGCCCGCGTACGCGGATCACCGCACTATTAATAGGAAACGAGGGACGGAGAGAGAAAGGAGCGGAGGGCCCGCTGGGGAAGAGACGAGAGGCTCTAAAGCGGAGCGGGCGCGACGCCCGGAGCCCCGCTGATGTCCGCGACGACTTGGCGGACCTCAGAGCGGCTCAGGCTGTCGCGGACTCCACATTCCACCGGGACAAGCTCCTCCTGTGCGTGTGCGTGTCTCTCTTTCTCTCTCTTTCTCATCCCCCTGAGGAGTGCGCGGGACCCACCGTCGTCTCTCTCTCTCTCTCTCTCTCTCTTTTCTCCCTCGCGGTTTCACCCCGGCTGGACCACCCCCGTGAAAACCATCTACACGCGCGCACACACGCACACACACACGCGCGCGCGCGCAAGTACGCCCGCACACGTCCACACGCATTGACACCACCCCGAGTGTAAGTTGAATTTCATTTTTCATTTCTCTGCTCGACGGTCTCGATTTTTTCTGTCTCTTTTTTTTTCTCTCTTCCTCTCTTTCGAGGTCTCTTATCGAGAGCGGCGCGCCCCATCCGCCTTCTCCTCGTCCCGAAAAAACGTTCGCGTGTCCCTCCCGCGGTGTGAACTGTTGTGAAGGTGAAAACGATACGAGATAACTAACTCGAGAGATCTTCGGTGGTGGTTCTCCTCGCTCCAGCGGCGTTCATATCGCCGAGGAGGTCGCGAACGACCCTTCGAGACTTGGACGGACGGTTTAGCGAAGCTCCGAGGATCGATCGCGCGAGGATCCATCCTCCGAGAAGGATCAACGGGGGCCACGTGAAATCGCTCGATAAAAGCCTTTCTTTCGAGGCTTCCCTCCTCTCGGGAGAGGGAGAGTGAGCGATGTTCCTCTTATATGACCGATCGCGCGACGTGTGGATCGGTGGAAGCCAGTGGAAAATCTCGTGAATGCGTAGCCGCGCCCGCACGAAGCGCGGACTCCGTCTACTCGCCCGGCGCGGGGAGAACCTGCCTCGTCGGTGGGAAATTTCCGACCTTCGGTCGTGCGACGGACGTGCGAGTGAACGATTACGTGAAAAAGCTGCAAGATCGTGCAACGCGTCTGTTATCTTTACGACGTAGATTAACGACCCTCGTGAACTTTATCCGCGGGCTTCTCGCGCTCGATCCGTATAGGAGACCCCCATAATACGGTGCACTGGCTAGACATCGGCCCAATGCCACCGCATATTGGGCAAATGTTTAATCAATGTTTGGTCAACCCTTGGGAAAATTTACTTTAAATGAAGCTAAAGTTTTTAAAAGTGATCTTTCAAGAGTTTGCTTGAGGACGTTAAAAGGTTACTTAAGAAATTCTAGAGTAATTTTGGACACTCAAAGTAATTTTTAGATAGCCAAGTCCGTCGATGGTTCCCGCGAGAGGGCCTCGCGGCAATTTCTCGTAAGAAGACAACCGCACGCGGTATTATAAATTATATCACATACTTTTTACAATTCTTGAAGTTTTCTTTTAAATGCTTAAAGTAAGTTTCAAGCTTGCCTTAAATACAAGTTTAAAGTGTCCAAATTTACTCTCCATATTTCTTTGCTTTGCTAAAGTACGGAAGGTTTTCTAAGGTATATTTTCCCAAGGGAATGCACCGCGCTACTAAGGACTCTCTTCGAATTCCTTGCACCTTCGCGCCGTTCTCCTTTCTCACAATCTTCCTTATCTTTGCAACTTTCATTGTAGCATTTTCTTTTGTTACATCGTACGATCGATATCTCGTATCATTTCCAAGTGAAACTTCTGTGACGAGAGGAAAGCGGAAACTCGTAAGACCGCAAAACTAGTGACGTACCGGCCGATAGTTCGAGATGAGAGACCGGGGGTGTCACTTCGTGTCGGTCGAGGACGTACAGTTTCGTACTTTGGACTTACTTCGCGGCCGCGACAAGTAAATTAACAACGACGAGCTGTGATCGAACCGCGGAATTGTCGATCGCGTTATCGGCAACATTTTCGATGAATTCGCGATGATGTCTGATGTACAGGGCGTAAAGTAATTCGCGCTCGCTATTTGTACAGTGATATTCCTTGTGAAAAACTAAGTCGAAGAGTCCCGAGCCATGTTTTCGCATCAGGCTTCATAAAGTTGTCTCTTTCTAAAGTAACAGTTGGAAAGAGACAAAGAACGAATTAAGCTAAACCTAAAATTAAACGACGTTGGTGAAACCGGACCTAGGTCTGTCTTAGTCGCGGACGTCAGGCAAGGCAGAAGAAAACTCAAGTCGTATACAATAGACTTTCACGACTTGAGTTTTCTTCTGCCTTGCCTGACGTCTACGACTGAGACAGACTTAGGCCCGGCTTCACCAAACGTTGCTTAACATTAATCTGAGTTTAATTCAGGTTTGTCTCTTTCTAGAGTAACAGCTGGAAAGGGACAAAGAACGACGAAAGGCGGAGAAAAACTTAAGTCGTGAAAGTCTATCGTATACTTTAGTTCTTCTCCGCCCTGCCTGACGTCTGCGACTAAGATAGACTTAGGTCCGGTTTCACCAACGTTGTTTAACTTTGAGCTTAGCTTAAATTCGTTCCTTGTCTCTTTCCAACTGTTACTTTTGGAGACAACTACTTTATGAAGCCTGATTACGGCAACATGGCTCGGGACTCGTCGACTTAGCTTTTCATGAGGAATATCGCCGTACAAATAGCGGGCGCGAATTAGCTTTGCACCCTCGTGTACCTCGCCCCCTGAATCGTCCAGTGTTACGAGCGCGCCGCGGAGCATACGGCCGTTCTCCATCCGCGTAACAGAGCGGAGCACGGGAGAGCCAGGACGGCGAGGAAAGGAGAGCGGAACGCGGGAACGGGCGTGTGTTGTACCTCTAAAATTAGAGCGACGTGGCAGAGAAGGGGACGGGCTCCTTATAGAGCTTGTGCGCGAACGCCGGAGCCTGCGGCCAGGGTTAGCAAACTGGCATTTTCTCTTTCTCGCCTCCAAGTATCGGATTACTTCGGGAACGTCGTCGGTGCGCGCCGTTCGGCCCATTCAGCTTCGGCCTTTCCTCCGGGTGCCCCTCTGCCACGCGAGGTTCGGCCAAGCGCGAGCATTTTTGTACATCCGCGTGCCCCTTTTGTCCGCCGCCCCCCCCCTCTCCGCCCCCTTCCGCCCTTGTCGCTTCCTCTCGCGCCTGGTCCCTTCCCGGACCTCTTCCTCTTCTTCTTCGTCCACCCGCGTGCCCGGTGAGGTTTCCAATCTCTCCGTTCCTTCTCGATCCCCGCGCGTTTATCTCGCCGAGGATTAATCGCGCCCCGCTGGCAGGCGATCTAATCGAGACCGTTGACGCGAAATTGATCGTGACGTGCCCAGTCGACGAAGTTGGTACCAGCGACGGATGTTAGTTGCGCGCATAGTTGAATTAGTTAGAAAGCTGTGACAAGTTATGCTGAACGTCACCGAGATTTCGCTCCTCCGACGATTTTGCCGCGAGAATACCGCAAGTGTCACGTTGCGCGGTACAACTCGAGTCGCGCGGTCCCTTTCCCCGCGCGAGGACAGCGCAGTGCGCCGCAACTCTCGAAGTGTGATCTAATTAAGCGACACCTAACGCGAGGCTATATCGTTGGTTTCAGTTTCGCCCTGCCGTTTAAGAATCACTCTCCCTGCCGTCGACCTGGCAGCCTGGTAATCGAACGTCTCGTTCTTTTTTTTTGTGTTGCAGCGCTTTAAACAGCCGCCAACATGTCTGACGACGAGGAACAATACTCGTAAGTAGCCCACACTGATCCGTTACTCCCGAGTCACATCGATCGACCGATCGATCGCGAATCGCCATCCGTTGTTTGCGCGCGTTTCGCAGCTCTCGATCGCTTATTTTAAGACTGATGCAACTCCAATTTTAGTCAGGCCACGAGTCGCGCCACGGACGCGCGAAACACTCACGCGCCTGCGACGGAAAGCCACCCCCTCCGTGCCCCTTTCTATCTCTCTCTCCTGCTTCGCAAAGTACAGCACCGGCCGATATTGTCGCCCTTCGATTTTTGGAATACAATCGGTAGAGCGCGAATGAGAAATTCGAAAATCATGGTGTATTTCGTCGATACGAGTTTGGCCGGTACTGTAGGTTTGCATACACCCAGAAAAAAGATTTATTTCAGTTAAACAAAAATGATACGTAGTAGTTGTTTCTTTGAATCTACTAAATTTTGGTTTACTTCCGCTAAAACGTCTGCTCGACTTGAAGAAGTAGATATGAATTCTCGTAGACCGGTATTCGCGGTCAGATCTTACACTCAAGACTGTCTTAAGATCGTCTTTAGATACGCCGTAGCCAATGAAATATTCCGTACAGCATCTTCAGATAATTGCAAGACGTTCTTGAGTATAAAGATCTGACCGGGAACACCGGTCTCGGCCGAGTGAAATTTTGGCCAAGGTGCAGAAATCATTTCTTTGAAACTGAATAAAAGTGCAGCGAGGCGAAAATTGAAGGGGAAAATTCGTTCGTTCTCAAACTTTCTTCTGGTTGTAATTTTCGCAAATAAACGACCTGCAAGGCAGGCCGGTATCACCGCTCTCCGAGATGAGCGGGTCGAAATGCGAGAAAGAGAGAAGCGCGCCAGCGTGATCTCCAGACCCAGGGAGATCGGGATCTCCGCCGAGGCCGAAGCGGCACGTCCGATCACGTTTCGTACGAACCGAAAGTGGCGAGCGAAGTTGAAATGTCGCCCACGTAAGGTTGAACAGCGCCCATCATCTGCGGCCTCGTCGTATTCTAACGTATCGCACACATTTGCCGTCTAACTTTACCCCGTCTCGGTGCCCGCCCCTGCGTGCGTCACGTCCCAATCGCACCCACGCACGAGCCCCCTTAATAAGCAAGCACTCAAAGCAAGACGCCCGGACACTTTGGTCAACCCCTAATTGTCACTCGGTGGCACATTTTCACGCTTGCACCATTTTTTTCCCCCTCCGTTCTTTTCACACGCTTTCGCTGTCTCGCACTGCCGCCTCGAACTCTTCAAAGTCAACACCCCGTAAAGTAAAACTTGTACACAGTTTCTCATTAAATCGTGTAATTGGATTGTTTGTCACTGTGGCGCGCTTTGAGGAAACTTGCTCTCAGATCGGAATGAAAAAAAGACGAAATTAAGTTCGATGAATACAGCCCGTCTAAAGAAAGAAACTTGAATTCAATCGCCCGCGTTTATCGGTCGGATTGCAAATTTATTGCCAAATTTATGTCTCACGAAGCAAAGTAGATTCGCGTACGAGCGGTATATTCGCGGTAATTAATTTGTGCGAGAGAAAATGAGCGAGAGCTTGAAGCAACCCCCTAAAAGACCCCGTGCCCTAACTCTCAAAAGTGATTACCCCCTCGTGAGTCCCCCCGCCCCCTGCCCCCCTGCCCCCGTTTGTTTCAAACGCCCCGATCGCCCGTGCTGTTTCCGCCCTGACTAAACTGGACTTTTTTCCGTTTTCTCTTTTGCAGCAGCGAGGAGGAAGTCGAGGAAGTGTAAGTGTTCACTTTCGTTAAATGTTTCCCCGATTACGCTCTCCGGTATCTGTCTAACATACGAATTGTCTCGTTTTCTCATTTCAGGAAGTAAGTTTCTGAGGCTTGTAACGAGCGCTGTAGCTACTGCGAAGACGCGATCGCGGCGGGAATCTTCGGTTTCGACCACGCGATTGTAGGAGCCGCGCGATGGCTCGCGATAGCTCGCGGCGCGATAGATCGCTCCCGGTCAAAAGATTTAAATTAGCCGACAGATCCGATTTATTTCTCTTTCCTTTCTTTACGAGGACACGTACTTTTTCGCGACGCGGCGTTTTTTACGTTCGCGCGCGGAATTGGGCTTTTTTGCCGCGAAAGATTTAACGGGATCCATAAAGCGGGAGACCGAAGCCGCGCTCTTCTTTTATCCCTCTCTCGTCGGTCGGTGCTCTTCCTCCGTGGAACCAGAACGTCGAGTTGGATTAGAGCTAACGAACGCGCAACGAACGCGCACGATGAATCGATAGCGTGAGAAGCGTAGATGAAGAATAATCGCTTTCCGAAGTCTCGTTTGCGCCGCGCAGCACGCCAGATTTCTCTATCCGATTGTGATTTATGAACTCCGTCTTCTTCTTTCTTTCTTTTTTTTATTTATTCACTCCCTGTCTCTCTCTCTCTCTCTCTCTCTGTCTGTGTGTATCTCCACATACAACACACAAAACCAACCAACCAATCAACCAACCAACCAACCAATCAACCAATCAATCAAACCAACCGTCACTCGCCATCGACCGATCGGCTAATCGACCCGCGCGGTACGATACAAAATATGTCAAAATCGAAGGCAGCCGGAGAAGAAGACCGAGTAAGTTTTGCACACGACAAATATGAACGTCTCTCTCTATCTCTTTTTTTTTACGGCCAATAAGTGGTGTACGTTCACGCGCTGTCGTCAGTGTCGTTTCTTTTTTTTTCTTCCCCGCTGTCTAATCGCTATCTTGTCTTGTTGTCTCGGTGTAGTCTTTAATTGTTCGTCCGTTCTCTGTTTTATACTCTCTCTCTATCTCTCTCTCTCTCTCTCTTTGTTCTCATCATCTCACACGCGTTGTGCCGCCGCAGTCGTTTACTTTTGCATAGAATTTTTTTGTAGCGATACACTTGCTGGCTCTTCCCACCCCTCTGTCTTCCTGTTTCCCCTCTGTTTCTCTTTCTCCTCCGTTTTTCTTTCTCTTTATTTTTCTACCCTCGTCGAGTGGTTCGCACACGGAAGAGGAACGTCGCTTCAGCGAAACTGCTTTTATCCGAATTCATTCGGTTTGGATTGCGCGAGAGACGATGCTTTCCTTTTTTTTTTTCCCCCCTAGCGACGTTCTTCTTTTTCGTATAACATTGTCTCAAAGAGAATTGACGCTGATGTATCCACCTCCCACGCCTCTCTGTTTCCACTTCAATTTATTGTTAAGTACAATACATTCTGCCGCCGGTGTATTTGCTGTCTTCTCAACGTCTGTCTTGTGTCGCTGTTCTGCGCCGATGGATTAAACAAAAAGAGAATAATAATGATAAAAATGAGAAAACAAACAGCAATGCTATCGCGCTTCTCTATGTACACGGACGACGTACACGCACACATGTATATACACACGTATCTCACGTATGAGAGGCCGCACGTGACGTACCACAATACGCATCGTCGACGCCTCTCACGGAAGCAGTTTTTTTTTTTTTCACGAGATGCAGTCGCAAATAGTATATACACGTTTCACCCCGCATTTTATTTTCTCCAAGCCTCGTCTTTGTCCTCGTCGTGTCTGTCAACTGTATCTGTCGCCTAATATATCAGCCTCTGTTATCCGCATATTATGGCAAATGGGCAACGAAACGTTCTTTCTTTTTCTTTTTTTTTTGCAAAAAGCGCTACGAGATCCCCGTTGGAGAGAAAGTAACGGCGAGCCGCTTAACTGTTGAAAGCAAGCGACGCATACCGATCACTCGCTCGCTAAGAAGCGTCGGGAAACGACCAGTCTCTGCATTAAAAAAAAAAAAAAAAAACGTGCAAATCAATCGACCGCACGATCGAGCGGTCGGATTTAGTTTGCACGGGAAAAAAAAAGAATGAGACAGGAAAGCGCAAGTTTTGGAGACGAGCGCGATACCGATTTTTATAATTTACGTGCAGCTTTGTGCAGTCCTACGTAAGCAACGATCACAATCGCACGACCTTATTAATGAATCTGTACTTTCTTTTTTTTATAGGGGTAGGGCGTCCCAAAAGTAAGTTGAACATATCGAGGTGTTTACACGTCAATAATATATCTTCCCTGTTCTCTTCGGCCGCTCTCTCACATCCTCCTGTCCCGCCCGGAGTCGGTTTTCCCGAACGTCGCGTCGATTAAATTCGCGAGCCCCTTAAAAGCTTAATCCCCGCGAAGAGTATCTTTCTTTTTTTTTTCAATTTACCAAAGGCGGGAGGACAAATTGTTTTCCTGCGCACGAAGTTTGCGGTAAATCGGGCGAAAGACCGAGGCAGAGGAAAGTCCCCCTGTTACGAGGTCCGTTGCTCTTGAAATCTGCTTGGTGTAAAATTCATTGTTACATCGCGTAATCGTCGCGAAGAAAGATTTGCGATTGAATTTGAGCGTTGAAAACCTATTTCGCATTAGAAACCTATTTCATAATACAGGGCCTTTCTCTATTTGCAAGTTTCGTCTCCCTCGGGAGCTCCCGAGCGGACTTTGCCGATGTCCTCCCCGGATTTATCGCAGCTCGCGCGAGATTGAGCGAAGGACGAACCATCGCTTCTTCATCTTCTCTAAGAATTGGAAACGCGAGCGAAATTAACGACCGACCGACGTTGGCGAAAACCGGCCGCCAGGCCCACAGATTCTTCGTCGCGGCGGGAATGAGATCGCAGAAGACCCGGCTTCGCGTTACGGTCGCTGTTGCGCGGCGCGCTCTGTAGATTTGCTAATTTCTATCTATATCGCCGGGAGAGGAGCTTGTTTACAGATACGGGACAGATAACGCGATCGTTGGCCTGTGTGTAGCGCGACGGCGAATAATAATAGGATATATTTATCGAAGGCACCGGCATGCCGGCGGTACGTCGCGGGCGCTCGTGAATATTCCATTCGCGATTGCATAACGCTAACGCGCGACGATACTTGAGCCGTTTGGGAGCCCGCCAGGCGTCTCATAAATATATGCACAATAACGTAACAGAGTTTATTCTGAGACCGACGTCCGCTCAAAATGTACCACGCCCCGGCGCCGACGCGTGATCTTATTAACGGCCGGCCGTTCGATACATAATGCAGCATCTGCGGTGCTGCATATTCACGCTTAATCCTGCAGCGTGCCCGAATCTTTCTCCATGCACCCGGACAGCAATGCATATCTAAGAGGCGTCGTAAAGGTATCTTTAAGACACGTTTCAGACGCGCAATGTAAAAAAAAATTACGTGTAAAATTACAATTGTTTTAGTGAGTAACATTGAAAACATCTATTAAAGGTGTATATATACACCTTGCGGGTAAAATTATTATATAATAAGCAAACTGCTTGCTTTTAAGTGTGTAAATTTTACAACTTTTTGTAATTTCTCGTCGTGTATAAATGAAAAATTTTTTTTGCGAAAGTACATAAATTTATATATTCCCGATTCTAATAGTGTCATCGCTGCGCCTATTGTGTATGTGATTTTACATACTTTTTTTACAGTGTACACGTCTAAAGATCCGTGTCCACGGACACTACACTGAAAAAAATTTCTGGTCTTTGAATATGGACGAATCAGATAATTCCTTTAGGATTTACCAGAATTCCTGTAATTCTACAGAAATTCTGGTAAATCCTAAAGGAATTCTGGTAAATCCTAAAGGAATTATCTGATTCGTCCATATTCAACCAGAAATTTTTTTCAGTGTAGAACTTGGTCCAAGTTCTAGCTCCGAAAAATGTGTAGGCAATCAACTTGTAGCTTTTACGGGATAGCTGCAAGCTGACTGGCTACGTATTTCTCGAAACCAGAACTTGGACCAAGTTCTGGCATCGTGGGCGCAGGGCCTGAAAAGACAGCCTAATGTCATCTTAAAGATGTCTCTTGGATATGCGTGCTACCTGGGTACCGGCCGAATACAACGTTGTGCAATCCGGCCTTCAACACCGTCTATCATAGCGTTGAACTGAAATTGAATGAGTCAACGTCTGAGTTAGTTGTTTATTTTTTAATTGTTCAAATTTACGTTCCCGGTCAAGAGTCAAGTTGTAGTCTGCGTAAGTGCGATGCTCTGGATTTCAGTCCCGCCGGCGACGTCTAATCGTTCGTTGTCATGTGTTCGAGGCCCCCTCCCCATGTTCTCCTCGTACTTTATATCTCTTTCGCACCCCCGCGTGTTTTACGTTTTGTCTCTCTGATTAATAACGAATTAACGAGTTGTACATAATCACGTCTTGTTCGAGTTACGTCACAGCGATGTGTCACACGTCCTTGTATCTCAAGGCTCGTTATTTTGCCCGATCCACCAGCCCCCCCCCCCCCATATTAATTTATATTGACCTTGCGCCCCATAATTGATCGACTCGCAAGCAATAATTGCAACACCCACATGCCTGCAGATCCCATGAATAAGCGGTTCTTACATCCCGACGACGTCTCTCACGATGCAAATTATGAAGCAAAGATATGTAAAGCGTGTTTCAACGCCGTAAGATATATCTGGGGAAGGGAGGCCGAAATCCGATAACGATCGCGGTATACTCTCCCCTTCTCGCCGAACGATTTATCTTTCGGGGACACGAGTCCCATGTGTCCCCGCGAAATTCCCACGGATTGACCTTCTCGATCTCGAAGAACCGGAGTGAAATTACGTTAAATCCGCTCGCAAACAATTTGGAGCCTGCGACGCTCAAAATTGTCACCCCCAGAGCGTATCTCCGATGCGTTATTGTCTCTCTCTCTCTCTTTTTCTCCCCCGGTTCCGATATCTCTTCTGGTCACTCACGAATCCGCGATCCTTGACGACTGAGTAACTCATCCCAAGACAGTCATGGGATTCCTCGCTACTCTCATTAATGCCTTCTCCCGTGATTCGCTGCGGTGCGCACTTTGGTTTCTTCTTTCTATATGCTTGCACATTGTCGCCTTACTATTTGCCTTTTTCTCTTTCTTCCCTTTGTCTTTCTCTCTATCTCTCTCTCTCTTATTTTCTTTCTTTCACAAGTCGCCCCTGTCACCTCCTCTCTGTCCCGCTCTATTTCTCTCTGACTTTTATGTTTATCCGACCGTGCATTTATCTGTCTGTCTGTTCCGTCCATGTGTTGTCTGTGTGTGTATACGTGCGACGAGCGGCATTGGATAATATGCACTACGGGAGAGAATGGATGGAGTTGTAAATAAAGTAGTGGAGATATGGACGTGAGAATCGCGTGTGGAGTTCTGGGGGATCTTGCGAGATCTTCCAGCGAGCGGGCTCAGCCGTCGTGATATAAAGAGAGTTACTTTTGTTTTCACTCCGGCCTCCTTCAGGGAATCTGGCGAGAATCCCGAGTTTATGAAGGTGAGTGCTGACTGCTCGTAGATAACTTCGTGCGAGTGCCCAAAACTCCCCCCGTGCTCGGTAGTAAAAAGATCTCTCGCGGTAAAGAGAAATGTTGTATATTTGCAACACGTTGTCCCGCCTATCAATCGTATCGGGGATCACGTTGGGCTCGAGTACGATCGTTAAGGGAGGCACAATCAAATGCGCGTTACGACTAATCCGCCGCTAATACTTCAGAGGCAAGAACAGAAAAGAAGCGACCTTGACGAGCAGCTCAAAGAATACATAGCGGAATGGCGAAAGCAGAGAGCCAAGGAGGAGGAGGAGCTGAAGAGACTAAAGGTACGATCTGCCCTTTATACCTCAACTCGACATCCTCTCGATTGATACTCTGCGTTTAATGCCGGGAAATATATTGTATCAGGACAAGCAAGCCAAGCGCAAGGTCACCCGCGCGGACGAGGAGAAGAGATTGGCCCAGAAGAAGAAGGAGGAGGAGGAACGTCGCCAACGTGAAATTGGTAATTTTGCATTTACACCCGTCCCTGTTTCCGCCTCTAAGCGAATCCACGAACTTAATAGAGCTTTCTAAATTTTTTCAGAGGAGAAGAAACAACGTGATATCGAAGAGAAGAGAAGGTAGGTGTCTATTACTGGTGCGGAATGTCTCTCGGGACGTATGTCAGAATTCTGAAAAACAGTATCTTTTTGCGCGTAAAACATTTTGTACGAGCAACGGTTCGTTTTTAATCAGTTAACTGCCCGATTTTGGAACGTGGAGTAAATCAAATAGAGAAAGTAAAAGAAAATTCTTCGATAAACGGAAAAGGGCCAATTGATTAATAATGTGTAAAAATTGTTATGTCGCGAGCGACTAAATAACAATCGCAAGAATGTCAAATTATATACATATATCGCTAATAAGCGCAAAAAATGTATGACATTTTTCGCGATCGTCACTGAAATTATTTATCAACGTTACGTAGCATTTTTTCGGTCGTTAACGTAAGTAATTTGATATTCTTGTTATACGAACCGTTATTTGCAATGCGAATCTTTCAATAAGTGAGACACTAGTTTACTTTCATCGACCGAAAAGTAAATTTCGATTATACGCGGATTATAACTTGCTGTGTGTTCTACGGATGTTCGGTTGATATTAAACTTGCAAATTTATCACACATTAAAATCAAATTGATCACGCGGTAGTTACATAACATTTTAATACACAGCAGGGGAACAGATTTTGTAGGATTTTGTTTTTTATTTTTTTCAAAAATTATCTTACAATCAAATTAAGAGAATGCTTTCGTTAGAAAATTTAAAAAGATATAAGGTATGTTTACACATGGATTTATATTTGCTTGCTACATTCTAGGCGCTTGGAGGAATCGGAAAAGAAACGTCAGGCTATGATGCAAGCGCTGAAAGACCAGAGCAAAGCGAAGGGTCCAAACTTTACCATCACCAAGAAGGATGCGCTTGCGGTAAATATTCTCTTTATTGTCGGCAACAATTACGTATTCTCTAATTGGGATTTTACTCGCGCGAATTTAGGGTAATCTTTCATCGGCGCAACTTGAGCGTAACAAGACGAAAGAGCAGCTCGAGGAGGAGAAGAAGATCTCCCTTAGCATTCGCATCAAGCCCTTGGAAATCGATGGCCTGGCCATCGACAAGCTCCGTCATAAGGCTACCGAATTGTGGGAGGCCATAGTCAAACTTGAAACCGAAAAGTACGATCTGGAGGAGCGACAAAAGCGTCAGGATTACGATGTGAGCTTTTACGATGTGTACGACTCGAAAAATTTTGTTAGAGAATTCGCCTTATTTCAACGGCACACATTTATCGTATTTCTAATAAAATTCAAGTTGTTATTATTTAAAAAAAAATTGCTTGCTTACGCAAGATTATACGTTGTGTTTGTTTGTATAAAAATTGTGGTTTTAATGAACGAAAGATTACGCATGAGGATAGATTTATTTATACGCGCGGATAACAATACCATATGGTTTGCATAAAAATAAACAGAAGGAAAAACAAGTATACATTGACCGTTTCCGCTTGGGAAATAAGTTGCTCGGACACGAGTTTAATTATAGTTCGTGTTGTTTTCTGGCTGTGCTGATAAATCGATATTGCCCTTTTATCGTAGCTTAAAGAGCTGAAGGAACGTCAGAAGCAACAACTGAGGCACAAAGCCTTGAAGAAAGGTCTCGATCCCGAGGCTTTAACTGGCAAATATCCCGTATGTAATCGTATATCGTATCACGTAGAAAAAGGAAAGGACAGGAAGAAACTTTATTAATCGAGCCGCTCTTTCACAGCCGAAAATCCAAGTCGCCTCGAAGTACGAACGTCGCGTCGATACCAGGTCTTACGATGACAAGAAGAAACTCTTCGAAGGCGTAAGTGTACTTTTTCTAACTTATTCAACACACATAAAAATTTTCCTACTCTCAGAGTACGAGGTCGAACCCAGGATTCTCTTGCTTTGTGACACAATCATGTGATGTTTTTACATTCAAACATTCCACCATCACCAGATACGAAGACACTACATGTACATACACGTACGTAAAAGTAGAAATTCGTTTCCCGTTACATAACGCACAAACAGACTTAAGGACACGGTAGGAATGAACTTAAATACATGTGTAAAGATGGCGATTAGTGAGCATATTGTCGATTGAATCACAGGGCTATGACACGCTCTTAGCGGAGATCAACGAGAAAACGTGGAAACAGAAAACAGAACTATTTATGAAGCGCACCAAAAGTGAGTTCAACCGTCGATCTCTCTGTATCTACCTACCCCTTTGCTTGCCTTGCTGATTTTATCTCCGAGATCTCACGGACGACCGTGTTTCTAATTTATGTTCCTTGTTCTCGTTGACTAAACGACCGCGATGGCTGTCAGCCACGTCGCTGTGTTCATGTTGTCTCGATGGTGTATATAAAAGCACGATATACCGAATTTGTGTTCACACGCCAATGGTGATTTTTTTTTTTTACGTGCACTGCCCAGGGGAGATGCGACAGCAGTCACCAATCACGAAAATAATCTCACTCTCAGTAACTCCGTCGGCGTCTGCAAATTTGTTCACGTCACTTCACATTCCACGAAACCACGGAGTTGCTCGGCATTTTTCCCCCTCGACAGTTAAGGGGCGGGTGCTTGGAATTATCCTCATTTTCCTGTAAACCCGCGCGAAATCCGAGAGTCCACTCTTCGAATGTCAGGAGCGAACGTCGAAGATCGTAATACAGACTGGAAGGTGATACAGTCGTGAAAATAGATGACCTTTTGTGACGTTGATTCTGTCGAGCGTGACTGTCAGCCCTAACTTCGCCACGGGGAGATTTGTACGAACCCAGGGAAAGCAACAGTACGGATAGAGAGGGTTTTCCCAGGCGAAAGATCCCGATGTGTGAGAGTAACCCCTAGCATGCCATTCTGTCCGTTGATGTTTCAGGGTCTGACCGATCAGCAGAAGGAGACCGTCGAGAAGCAGTGGACCGAACAGAAGCAACAGTTCATGGGTCGTCAGAAGAGTACGTATGAATTCCGCTTTCGAGCCGCGGCGCCGGGACCGAGAGCTTCGAAAGAGCCTACGGTGCTCCTCGAGACGTCGAAGTATACGCAGCGAAAGTACTTATGGGGGGAGAAATGTTCGGGGGGGGAAAAACCCTATCTTCCTTTAAAGAACCTAATGAAAATCGATCTGACATTATTTAGCGGTTATCTGAAAATTAATACGAAATTAATTCCGAAACGACAAGACACCTCTGCCCCAAGTAATATCTCGAAGATCCGTTGGAAGTTCCTCCATACTTGTTTTTGTCATTACTTAGCCTCGTGGAATTCTAATCCGGTACATTTAGCAATTACCGCATCTCGCGTTCTTCTCTCACGATTGTTTGCAAAATTAATCCGTCGCTTTCCATGGATAACAGCGAAGTTACCTAAGTGGTTCGGCGAGCGACCGGGCAAGAAGGCTGGCGATCCCGAGTCACCGGAGGGCGAGGAGGACGTGAAGGCCGCCGTTGACGATGACCTCGAGGAGCCGCAGTTCGATGAGGAGGAGGAGGAGGAGGAGGCGAAGGAGGAGGGCGAGGAGGAGGAAGAGGAGGAGGAAGAGGAGGAGGAGGAGGAGGAGGAGGAGGAAGAGGAGGAAGAGGAGGAGGAGGAAGAGGAGGAATAAACCTTCTGGTCGCTTCGGCGCGATGTTAAGGAAAAGCGTATCTCGGAAATTTTAAAAAATGATCGTTAACACTTTTCGAACAAAGATCGAGCGCAGTCAGTGGCCAAGTCGGTAGAAATGCCTGCGACACGGCGACGTCTCCCATCTACTTCCGGAAACCGGCGGGCTCCCCTTCGAGATTCAAACGTCGAAGTGGAGAAAACGAATGACGAATGCTGAATGCTGGCTTCTACAGCAAACCCACTCTACTACCGCTACTGTCACTTGTACGGCCACTACTGCTACTCTACTATTGTCTATTATTAAACTATTACTACTCCTATTGTTACTATTGCTACTACTACTACTTCTCTACTATTATTACTATTATTATTATTATACTGTACAAATGCAGGAACACAAATTATTAAAATAAAACGATTTATCATATAAAATCCGTCGTACTTGGACACATTCATCGTCTTGTCGGTCATCAATGTCCGCCGTGGGACGACAGTCAAATAATTAAGTCACGTATTATTATACATTTTGGTGTAATTCAATACTGTAAATTTATTGTTATAAGTTAAATAGATTCTATTGTTCTTTTCAGTATAAAATAATTCAATGGAACGATAAGCCACGTGAAATACGCTTGATGGTGAATGTGTTAAAAAGCTTGTTCTCTAAAGCCCTCATGCGCATGCGTCATCTTCTACATTATCTTGCGGTCATCCTACGGTAACCTTGGAAGGAGAGGAATATATGAAATATATGAAATACGAAAGTAGAAGCATTTTATCCAGATAAAAAGAATGATTTTACTATCCTTAGATAGCCTTCAAGGAACTTCAAGATACCATTCTCTGCATCAATCTGCCTCTATTTCTGATAAAGATGTTTGACCTCGAAACTCGATGCGAAACATCCTGCATACATTACGCCATACGTGTTTTCCGATAAGTCTTATCGTAAAACTGACATGTTGCCCTTGGCTACACGGAAGCGCTCATTCACTTGCGGTTTTGCTTATCGAGACAAGATACACGAGCATTTTGCCGACCACGTAATGGACACGTTGACAAAACAGTACCTGCACTCGCGTCGAGAGCGGTTTTAACAAAAGGAAGCTTCGAGGGCGAGCTAAGTACCTCATTGCGGGTCTATTTAGCCATTTCGCCGAGAATGCGATAGTAGCGGTTGCGTAAAATACCGGTGATTCTGTAAAGTTCGACAAACTCCTGCGTCTACGTTTCATCACCGATACGAATTGAATTGAACGAGTGAGAACAGAAAGGGGACATGTGACATTTTGAAATTGTGTTAACAATGGGTCACTCTGCATCTGTCTAAAAACTTTTTAAAAATGAAAACTTACTTCATGGGGCAAAGTAGCACAGAACCTACTGAAAACTTTATATATGGTTTTATCAGCCTTCCTGTTCTAACCGATTCAATTGATGAATCATACTTTTCGCATTATATATCACAGAACGCGAAAAGCTCGGCGGGCGAACGTTAAATTGCGGCAGTAGGTGAGAAGGTCGGCAATAATTTCGATAATTTGGATACGTTGGATAAATAGTGAATTTTCAATCAATCTAAAGTTGCAGCAAAGGTTTAGAAATGATTTATAACGCAATGTGTTATAACACAATGCGTGTTGAATAAAGAAACATTTTAGCCCGTTACGTTGAATAATTTCTAAACCTTTGTTGTTTCGTTCACCGGCGAAGAAAAGAACTTCACCTTTATATGATTTCTAAAATTGCAGGCCGGAACAAGTGTCTTTATTCAAACACAACGTGTTTGAATAAAGAAACATTTTACAGCCAGTTACGTCGGACAATTTCTAAACCTGTGTTGTTTTGTTCACCGGCGAAGGAAAGAATGTCAACCTCATACGATTTCTAAAATTGCAGGCCGAGTTTAAGATCCGTTACACCTCATCTTCAGGACAAAGAGTGCAGCTGAAAGAGCCGCTTGTACCGCCGAGAGATTCGCGTAAGCGTCGGGAAATAGTCTCACGGAAATAGCGGCGAGACGCACGCGAAGGAGCCAGAGCGCGGTGCCAGAAAAGAATAAGACGCGTCATCGGAAATAGACTCTCGTGTCGCGGGGGCCTCAGGAGCAGCGGTCGCGAGCTCAACGGACGCGGACGTCGCGGCGGCGGCGATTCGCCGCGATTAGAATTGCAAGCGACTCCGCGGATGGGAACAATGGTACGGTGGCACGAGGACGGGACGAGGCGAGTGACGCGATTAGCGACAGAGTCGATCCGCCCGTCCTGCCCGATGATTAATTGCTCGCTCGACCAGGCGCGGCTAAGTCCGCTCAAGTAGCGGCAGCGGAGGGACTAAGCGGCCAGTTAGGTAATAGTCGTCATGCCGTACTAACGACCCGTCACTTGGCAAGTTTATCCCGGAAGGATGAGGGGCGAGAGGGACGAACGAGCGATATTACGGGTGAAACTGGTGAAAACTACGCAAAAGGCAGAGGTACGATCGGCAAGAATCCCTCGCGGGGTTCAGAGTGAGGAGGCGGGACCATATAGCGACACGAATAAAGGCTTATCGTCGCCAGTGGATAATTAACAAAGCGAGGAAATGTTTTTTTATTCAATCTCGGGGCTAATACTATATCCGAGAATTGTAACCGGTACGATCGCGGGGACGAGTAAGAGAATTCGCGGATTTGCCGCGAGAACGATCTCCACGCTCGTCTGAAGCACCGCGTCAGACTGGGAATTGGGATTGAGATTAGATTGAAATTTATCAATGTAGAAAATTTAATAGTCGGCCCAACTGGCAAAATCTAATTCAAGAAACTTATTGCGAAAACCATCGCCTCAGCCAGGGTTTAAACCTGGACTTTTCTCAGTCTAGGCGGGCGTCTCACCAATTCCGACCACTCAGGCATGTGGTGATACTAGTCGCGATAAATCGCAGTGTATCATTCGCGCACGTGCCCTCGAGTCGATCCATAAAGATCCTTGATCGCACGGCGTTTCCTTCGCGCGGCGAGGGTCAAGTCACTCGAGCAGCCTCGAGGGCGGCTCGAGTCCATCGCTAGAGTGACGTATCGTCATTTCCCTCTGGCTTGACCACCGTCCTCTTCTTTCGTCCGGTCCCTCTTTCCACGTCCGCTTACACTTGGCTTCGTCGCGAGCCTCTAGTCGTCGCGGTCACAACTATTTATAATGGCAGGCCGCCGAGTGAGTCCTCCTCGGGATCTCCGCCGCCGTCCTACGTTTGGAGAACGGCCCTCCTCGAGTGTGCCGGCGGTATCGCCGCGAGCGTCCGTCTAGCCGTGGTCTCGCGAAACTTCACGGTCACCCGATCGCCGCTCGAGGTGTAACGGGACAGTCAACCTTCGGCGTTGCGTCGCGTAGACGTTCCGACAAAGTAGTGTTAACTGAGAGAGCCGAGCGTCGTCGTAGGCGCTAACCGTCGAGTAAGTGCCGTCTTGAGCTTTTCCTCCGGAGTTCTTTCCCAGATGAAGAAACGGCCCGTCGAGATCCCGTTAAGTCGAACCGATCGCGATAACGAGGCGGATCGAGACAGTCGGTCTTGCATTTTTTCCGCATTTTATCCGCGAGCCTCGACGGGATACACCGACTCCGTCCCGAGAACAAATCGTCAAGTACCGGTACACCCGTCCGCGTTGGAGTGCACCGTGACCTTGCGAGGTTCATTCGAAGAGGTCCCGATTGCCACTTTGCGGATCTGGAACACCCGCGGAGTCCCGCGATCAAGCCGTGTCAAGTGAATAAGTAACCGTCCAGGTGGATTCGATCGCTTGGAGTGGCCGAAGTTATCGATGACTAGACCCCATTCTGTCACGACATCGCGATTACGCTCCGGTAACGCTCGTTACGACCGATCGCCGGACCGGGGGAAATAAAATGCGAGCGCGAATCGGCGCGAGCGATCGGCGCACGTGCGCGTTCACTTGACGATCGTTCACCGGACGGTCGATTACCGGTCGCCGTCGTGCGTCGCGCGACTATGCAAGTGTTCGTAACTGACGGTCGCGTTTTCGCGAGAACGTACCGCTTGTGGTGACGTTTGATCCGCGAGACCGGAAGCGATCGCGTTGCGCGATCCCCCGTCTGTACGCGGTGCAGCGACTATGCCGGTCGCGAGGACGGGAAACGCAGGAACGCCGGCGTGCTGATCGCGGCCCGCCGCCACGAGAGAGCCGCTTTTTCAATGAGGTAAGCGACAATCGACCTCGTTTCCCGAGAGATCGATCGCGCGTCCCGATCGGCCCTCGCTCGGCCGAGACGCGCGGAGACGTAAGCGCGGGCGAGATTTGGCGAGATACATCTCTCACGAGCGAGTTGTCAATGTGAATGGATGGATGAGCTACGGTGGAAAACCGCTGTAACGATGGGCGCGCAAATATAAAGTGTACATGGAAAAAAAATGTTGTAAAATTTAAAAAAAATGAAGTTGCCTGAATTAAACGTACGTTAACGTCACGGGCTGCCACAAACAGAAATAATTCGCTCAATTGTATTTGCTATGGACTTTAATTTTAAGCATTGAACTGAATATCCAGATTATTAAGACAACCGTCTGATGTTTCTCGTTCATTAATACTGACGTTGTTTCAACAATTTTATTTCATTTATACCGACCTTGTTGATATAGCCTTATTCTTTTCCCCGTGTATAAATCGAATTCTCCATCGTCGATATGAATAGCGCGCGAGGGAAACGGAATTTAATAAAAACTTGACGTTTCAACTTGGTGTCCTTATCCCAGATATGCTTCTAATTGGAGCAATGTTTTAGCGTTATATTTTGTGATTTTTAAATGGAGTGGTAGAGGGAAAACGCGACCGCGTCATTCAACTGCAGAAATGATTAAAAACTATCGATTAATATCCGGCGTTCGAATTCTGGTTCGTACAATGGGGTTGGGTTAAGTGAAATTGATATGACATATCGAGGCGCAATGTAAGTAATCGCCTTCATATTATCTCTCTCTCTCTCTCTCTCTCTCTCTCTCTCTCTCTCTTCCCTCCCTCCCTCCCTCCCCCCCGTCTCTCTCTGTCTCTCCCTGTCTCTCCTTGTCTCTTCCTGTCTCTCCCTGTCTCTCCCTGTCTCTCCCTGTCTCTCCGTGTCTCTCCCTGTCTCTCCCTGTCTCTCCTTGTCTCTCCCTGTCTCTTCCTGTCTCTCCCTGTCTCTCCCTGTCTCTCCCTGTCTCTCCTTGTCTCTCCCTTCCTGTCTCTCCTTGTCTCTCCCTGTCTCTCCCTGTCTCTCCCTGTTTCTCCCTGTCTCTCCTTGTCACTCCCTGTCTCTTCCTGTCTCTCCCTGTCTTTCCGTGTCTCTCCCTGTCTCTCTTCCCCCTCTCTCTCTCTCTTTCTCTTTCTCCTTCTCTTTCCCTCTCTCTTATCAGAGAGAGATAGGGGGAGAAAGAAAGAAATGCATATTAAAAATAATTTAATTATACCTTTTGTAAACTACATTCAGTTTTCCTCGCTTGTTTTTTCCGTACCGGTCACTACTTACTTCTCGCCGTACACACGCGCACACTTAATATACGCGTGTGTGGACGAGCGATAAATCCCATTATGGCATTATGGAAAATAGAATTGCGACTTTGCGAGTCTTCGGAAGCCGTAAAAAGCCCCGACGACACCCCGAGCTATTTCGCCCAAGTCAGTCACGATCGAGATAGAACAACGGAATCGCAGAACTTGATCGAGTGACGTTTCTCTGTCGCTTCGCCGACAGAGAGCACGTCGAGGAGGGTCTCTTTCGTCGTTCTTTCGTTTAATTTCCGGAGTTTCGTAATTGGATTTATTCAGTACGCGAAGATATGGCGGAGGAGGAGGGGGAGGAGGGCAAACAGGAGGCGGGGAGGTGCGAGGAGGACGACAGGATCGGAGAAGGGTGAGGACAGCGAGCGCTACGTGATGTAACTTATTAATTTTTTTTTCATACGTAGGAGTGACACATTTCGTTCCGGCGCATAAACCATTCTAAATTGTACATAAAACGCGGCGGACGAAAGGAACGGCAGGGGATATCATATTTTGCCACTTGATATAATCCTTTATCCCGTGACAAAGATATATCTGTTTCCGAGTAGTTTCCGCAGCTATAAATAACCCGTCTCTACGGATACGTTTTTATTGGTTTATAGCGGGGGCGCGTTCTTCTTCTTTAAACGGGCTCCTACCGGGGCGATTCTTTGCCTGGCGTATAATAGACGTTCCCTTTAAGGGGATGCTGGAGTGATTCTACACCTTTCGCACTTCCTGCATCTAGAACTGTCAATACGTGAAATTATTTGTGTAATATACGAATTGTGTAGCTTTTGTGTACGGACCGGCAGTGTTCCACTAATCGAGCTAGATCAGAGAATAGCATGGTATCATTGAAACTAAGTTTAGAAGCCTAACAAAAAATCTGTTCGCTAGAATAAGTTACAGGCGAAAAGGACTCATTTGCCTATGACACCGTGCTGTTCCCTGATTTAGTTCGATTAGTGGAACACTGTCGCTCTGGGGAAAAAAAGGGTTACAACCCATTTTGGAACCCACAATTGGTAATCGAATTATTTAGATTGTTCGTAACTCTAATCTTTTACGAATTTTAGCCCGCGTAACTAAAAATCACAATTAGCTGTTCTATCTATATCCAAGATATTAAATACTAATCAATATTCAGTAACGCAAAGATAATTTTCACTTAAGTGGCAATAACCGAAATGTTAAGTTGCTTAACTACATAAAAAAAAACGGTCAAAATTTTTCCCAGAGTAGAGTTACGAACAATCCAAATATTTCGATTACTAATGGTGGGCCCCAAAATGGGTTACAATTGTCTTTTTTTCCCCAGAGCGGTTTGTACACAAATGTTTTCATCCTCTAACAGTTCCAGGAGCAAAAGATGCAAAAAGTACAGAACCACTCCAGGGGGTGAATTCTGTATCTTACGCTATAATGAAACTGCTAAAAGCGAGTAGCTTCGTCCCATTCGAATCGTCCCCTTAGAAAGAGACAAAGCCCACTCACTTTTACCGCTTTCACTGCATTGTAAGGTACAGAATTGATCCCCAGCATCCCCTTTAAGACAGAGAACTTGGTCCAAGTTCTAGTTTCGAGAAATGTGTAGCCCAATCAACTTGCAGCTATTCCATAAAAGCTACACCATAAAAAGCCACGGGCCTTGAGCGAAGAAAACGCAGACGGAGAATGCAACTCCGAGGGGAGCCCGGGCCTTCGCTGGCGAATTAAATATTTACCCTTTTGCATCATATCACGAGCACCCGAACGGGAGAACCGATTGCCGCCCGCCGCATCGATACAGCGTCGTTCATTAAAACTTGATGATAGCGCGTGCGGCACGAGGCCGGAAAACCACGGCGAGCGTCGGCGCAACTCGATTCGCGGAAATTACGCAATGTAATTTGCGATTCGCCCGACCGACTTCGATTCCTATAGTCAATTAACTCGCGGTAAGACGAGCGTCGGATCTCGCTTGTAATGCGGCTTGTGGGCGGGACTGTAACTCTCACTGTGTCATCAGGAAAAACGCGGCAAAACGCGAATGAGACAAAGGAGACTTCGTAATCCGGTCACGATTGTTTTCGGACGCGGACGCGCGTTTTGCATTACGCGAGAGTAGCTCGAGTGCGGTCCCCGGGTAAACGCGTATTTCCGCGCGCGAGAATACCGTAATGGGGTACGGCGATAAAGCGGGAGTAGGTGCGCTGTGGAAAAACAATGGGCAATTGAGTCGCGCGAGAAAGGAGGAAGATATTTGCTTAATGAGTCACACCGAAAGGTATCGCGACGTTCGTGCACAACGCTGCTACCGGAGGTGAAGGAAAAATAAAGGTTTACGATACAGCCGTGATATCAACGAGAATTGCTTGACTATCCGGTTCTTATCATTTTTTTTTGCCACAATTTCGAAAGAGATTTACCATTGGTGCCGACGGACGTCGCGTTATTTAAATTACGATTTCGAGGAGATCAGTAAATTTATAAGCTTAGTAGTTCCGCTTTCGCTTAATAAATCAAGAACCAGCGGCTGGAAAAAATCGTCAAACTATCTCGGCAGTGAAGATTGGGTTATTTTTTTCTTCCAGTGGAGCTCATTAAGTTATTAGAGGCGCATAATAAGCGTGAGACGCAGACGGCTGTCCCCTTCTCGCTACGCTCTCTCGCTCGTCCGCGCTACGTAACGTGAATTAATTGCGGAAGTGAACTTGAAATACATTAACCCGTTATTAAACGCCGCGCGCCCTGCGAAACCGACAGTATTACGCTTTTGTCGCGCCGTTCGGGATCTTGACGCGCGACACGATTAGAAGTTAATTTACCGGACGTCACGAGTGCGCCTGCACTTGGTTCGGAAATGCAACAATGGCACGGAGTGACATCAATGACGGCGGCTGGCAGCGGGAGCTCGTGGGCGACTCGGCGATACGCTCGTTGTTAGAAAAGCGCCGTACCAGGTGTTATTACGCGGAGATGACATAATTCGCGGTTGCGAAAGATTAGCGCGGGCAAGAGTGCGGGGAGCGGCGATCGTGCCGCAATTGTTCTCGCGACTTTTTTTTTTTTCGCTTCCTTCCCTTGGCGTCAGTCGCGCGCGCCGACGTGGAAACCGCGCGGGGAAACCGATCGCTAGGATGGGCATCGGTTGCTGCGCGAGGTGGTGCTCGATATCGGGAGCAGTGGCTGGCGAGGTGATCGCGATAAGAATCACGTGAGTCTCCCGGCCCATATGGATCCGCGTCGTTATTCTTGATTGAGAATTAACGATCCGTCTGGAACGGTCTTTTCCATCGCGAGACGGTAATTCGAGCGGTTTGCGGCGCTCCTACGCGAAATCTATGATTCACCTTGTTTAATGACAAGTTATTACGCGATCGGAACTTGTTAGCTGTTCCATTGAGTTCGTTGTAAATATAGCCCGTTGCAACGTAAGGCGCTAAAGACCTTCCATTAAACTCCACACCTGAAACTTTAAGGTGAAACGTTCTCCGTTGAGAGCCTCTTCGGAGGCTATTAAATTTCGTTTGTTACACAATCCGTCTTCGTGGGCTTAGGAGAGGAAAAGAGCTGACGGCTCACGAGGCGTGCCGTACAAAGTGATTCTCCGCACGCCACGTTTTACGCGGAAACAATGCCGCCAATCATAGATTTCGTTCGAACCTGAAGCTCGAACGTTACCGATCCGGGAGCGTCCGAGCGATCACACTCGACGAATGTGCGAAGCCTTTACACTGCCGAAGCTACGTGCTGTATATAATGAGTACATTTACACAATCACATACAGATAAGAGTAATGCCTGAAGAACACTTCGAAATAATAAACAACACCCCTCGGATGACCCGGCTACAAATCCCTTTACACTGAGCTGTCGATCCGCGCCGGTCGGTACCTTAGCGGGAGCGTGTTCGAAGGTGAGACGGCTAAGAGATGGCTAAAAGAACCGTCCATCCCGTAGACGTTGCGCTCCTCGTGTGCTGACCGTATTCCACCATCTGGGCGTTTCTCGTGTGCATTGTAGGTTGCTCGAGTTGGCCCCGAAGCTAGGACAACGGGTGCATTTCGCGGAGGGCACGAACTTACGATGCCGCGAAGACCCTATACCGTCCGATTCGGAGATAAGGTCAGCAGTCACCTAACTATGGATCTCCTGCAGAGCGATCTCTCTCTTTTCAGACGAAAGAGCACTCGGTTGTTCGCATAGACATGGTAAATATAGACCGAGCGTCCCATTGAATAAGCTGAAGCTTGTAGAGAAAGAGAGAGCGAGAAGATCTAAGAAGACTTTCTTTCTCTGTCTTACACCATCGTAAAAGAAAAGAATCGCGCCTGCGCAGTACTACACAGGTGTGATTCTCCCTTGTCGCGATGGTGAGACAGAGAAAGAAAGTCTTCTTAAATCTTGTCTGTCTCTCTCTCTCTCTCTCTCTCTCTCTCTTCACGAGCTTCAGCTTATTCAATGGGACGCTCGGTCTATATTTACCATGTCTATGGTTGCTCGTAACGTGAAAGAGAACGACAGAGTCAAAAGGACTCGGTTCGCATTTTTTTTTTTCCTTTTCCATCGAGATTACGATTCGAGTAACGTCTCGCGGCCGTTAATTGCGCCAAATTGAAGGTTCCGCGCTTTGACTTCCCGACCACGCCGGACTGTTGCCGACTCGACTGTCGCAACGCTTCAGACCTGCAACCTACATCGCACCTGCAGATTCTTCGAGGTCACACGCCGAGGGCGAAAATCCGCGGTTCGCAATTCGCAATTCGCGCGAATACGAGAACATAACGCGCGGCGCCGATTCCGGGCCGCTGATACATTCAAAGACGTCAGAGAGAATGAGGGGCGTTCGGTAAAACGCGGTTTTGTAATTTTGCTTCACGCTATTTACTTTACGAGAGTTTATTTTATAATGGGAAAGCTACGCGAGTGAAAACGGTACTTTCTTTGAAAACGAGAGAGAAAGAGAGAGAGAGAGAGAGAGAGCGAGCGAGCAATTTCGACTATATCCAATAAATTCCTATTAAATCCGTATTTTCAAATGAACAAACAAAACGTTGCGAAACATGATATTCGTATATCTCAAATATCCGAATAATACAAACGCCATTAACACAGCTCGATGACTACCGGTCTCGTGCAGACTCTTTCTCTCCCCGCGCCCACCCCTCTCTCTCTCTCTCTCTCTCTCTCTCTCTCTCACTCTGTATTTTTTTACCGTATGAACCTCGATTCCTGGCTAATACGCTTTATATTATTGCGCGCATGGTCGTGACACCTCCGCGAGAGGTGATCCGTCGCGGAGGGCGCATGAGCGGGGACCATGACGAGGGGGAGGCCGGAGAAGGACGCAGGGCGCACACGTACAACCGCCCGCGTTCTCTCTCACCCCTGTCGACATCGGTCATCGACGAGCCCTGGCTTGCGTTAGTCCGACCGGCAAACTCGCCGCGCAGCGTCGCGTCGCCTCCGCCGTCGCCGTCGCCTCGTTCGAGAGCTCGTGCCACCGTATGTTTTTACCGCGGGTCGCGAGGAGGAGCGCGACCTGTACAGGGCGAGGACTCGGAGGGCCGTTCGGTATGCGCGCTCCCAAGGGACCACGGGCGAGGGACGAAAATTTCGGAAGGAGAGGACCACGTTGAACTCACCCCTCGCGCGAGACGAGGCGTTCGGCTCGTGGACAGTGCGTAGGTGTTCCTTATTCGAAAGGTATTGCGTTGGAAAGAGGGTGAGAGAGGGTGAGTGAAAGAGAGAGAGAGAGAGAGAGAGAGGGAGAGGGAGAGACAGGAAGAAAGAAAGAGAAAAAGAGAGGAATCTCGAGGGTGACGAGAATGGAGCGGTGCGCGAACCCCCGTGGAATGTGCTCTATCATTGATCGAGCGTATAGATCGATCAACGTGGAGAAGGTCGTTCGGAGCAACTAGCAATTTCGGTGAATACCTGTCGATGTGCTCGTAGCACCGAACGACGTCCCAAAAGAATTCGCGGAGTCCTGGCCCTCGTTACCGTCGACGTGCGATCGATCGTCGATATCCTCAACGAGGGACCCACGTCGATGACGAGCGCGGAATCTTGAAGGCGCTCGGGCCCGACTCTGAGACGTCTCGTGACGGTGACAATGTGGATCAATCGATCCCCGGTCACGGAATCGCCGAGGCACGATTGCGCCTCGTGCCGCGGCAGCGGGGCTCACGACTTGGTCGTATCGGCGACCCCGATTATCACGCGTCACCGCGAAAATAAATTCCGGTGCTGGAAAACTCGATCGATGGTGCCAGTCACTCAAGAGGAGAGAGCCGCGCCGTGAGGGGCGGCAGGAAAGAAAAGGGGAGATAGATAGAGAGAGACAGAGAGAGAGAGAGAGAGAGAGAGAGAGAGAGAGAGAAAAACAGAGAGAGAGAGAGAGAGAACGAGTAATTGAGTGCGAGAGTGGATGCGAGGTGGACAAATGCAGGAGGTGAACAAATGATGAAAGTTCACCCACGTAGATTAATCACCATCCGAGTTTGCCGGGGTCACTCTCGTCGAATATAACCAGATAGCTTTCATTGTGATTCAGGCGCGCCGCTGGCCGTCGCACCTGATATCTCGACGTTTGATATTTCGAGCCGCAAAGCCTCGCTGCAAATTGCTGGGAAATTACCGGGAGATTCCCCGCTCCAAATTTCGTTCCCGCGTAATTTCAAAGTAATCCCGAAATATTGCGAAAGCGGTGGGCAAAACGTTTGGGGCAACGTCGACTGGCAACGAATCGAAATCGACAGGGACCGTACGTTTCTACACAAGCGACTTGGGACGCTTCGAAGCGAGGCTCCTTCATACGGAAGATCGTGCCGGAAACTTGGGGAAACGACCGCAAGCTCCAGCCTGTATTCCGGACGAACATCCGTCTCCCGACATCGCTTTTCCATTGTGATCTGACGATTGACGTCCATTATTCGGGCGGTTTTTCGAGTACTTTCGAGGACTCCAGAATTTCAGTGTAACGCTGGCGGCGAAGGTACTTAGAATGGGCTGCAAATCGGCAGCTAAGTCCAAGCTGAAAGAAGAGACGGTCGCATCGTCGTCGTCATCGTTGTTTTCGAAGTATAATCAGACGATCCAGTCGTCGGGCAAGCGGAAGACGATCCAGGAACACGGAGCGGAACACGGCGGCAAATCCAGTCTCGGGGACGAGGAAGAGAGCGAGGAAAGCAACGCGGCCTCCCGTGTCTCCGGGGGGTCATTTCCATTAGAGAACAGCGGAACGTCCGGCGTCGCGGTAGCTATCACCAGGTAGCTATCAAGCGACGATGCAGAAGTTGCGCTCGACCTTCAAAAGGTCGCGCACTCCCACGGGGGCGGAAATGAAATCCCAGTCTAGCCTCGAGGTGCCGAAGCAGATCAGGTCAGCCTCCTTCGACGAGATACAGCTACAGACGAAGAGGCAGGACGACCGTACCTCCTCCTCGTCCTCCACATGTTCCCCGGCGAGATCTCAAGACTCCGTGCGCGGCAGGAGGGGCTCCTCGACCCTGAAGGTGCCGCAGCTGACCGGTCAGCGTTCCAAGAGCTTCGACGCGTACTCCGCGAGTTCCGGCTCGTCCCCGAGTCAGCAGTTGCCAGCGGGTGGCATCGAGCGACCGGACACGCCGATCATCCAAGTCTCCGGATGCTACCACTGTGCCTGCGTCGAGGAGTACCGGAACCTCTGGCTGGCCGAGGATATCTCCAGGGAGGAGGCCGACGCCGGCGAGGTCCACGAGACCTCGGACACCGAGCTGTCCGAGAACGAGTCGGATCGCGAGGATGAAACCAAGAGGGAGGGCAGCCCGGAGATCCTGGTTACCCTGACGTCCGACAATGAACCGTGCGAGTCACGATGCGTCGAGGTAACGGAAGATGCGCCTGCCGAGCCGGACTTGGAAGTCAGGCCAGAGTTCCCGGAGAGGCAGCGCAGGCTGTCCAGGCAGGAGGCCCTGACCACCTTTCCCCTGGAGCATCTGCCCGCTCTCGCGTCAGCCGCGACCGCGTCGGAAGCGGACGACGACGACGACGACGAGGAGAACGAGACCGTCGAACCGAGCAGAGGCAAATTCGTCGTGCGTGACATTTTCCTGACCGTGCCGGAGCTGAAGCGGGACCGCGCCGCTTCCGTGGATTCGTGTTTTAATAACAATAAAAACGGCGGCGTTGCCGACGCGGACTCGTTGGCAGTGCCGCAGCAGAGCATCAGGTCGAAGAGCGTCGACATCGTGCTGCCGACGGACGCGAGGACGAGATACACGGCGCTGCTACCGGGAAAGGAACCGCGACCTTCGATAGGGTGGGTACGTCTGATTGGATGGAGCCGCGACCCCTCGGAGTGTTCTTCTGCCCTAATCACGTCGTACAACGCGATCTTCCCTTGCGTTGACGAATAGATTTCTAAGTTGGACGTCTTAATTCTGTTGCGCCACTTTAGCACTTACATTTTATTTACTTATCGTCAAATCTAGGATGCACCTGTCGCAAATAATATCGCTTGTCGTCGTTATTTATCTTCTTCTTTCCTTACTTTAGCAATCTTTAAATTTCTCAGTTATCGTGCGATGCATGAATCGACCTGTATATAATTAAATTGTTTTGTTTGCATTTTAATTTTTGATTTCGCCATGAAATTATGCATCTTGAATATAGTATAGACTTAATCTTGTTGTTAAAAAGACGGTAGAGATATTGACTTTTCTGGAATAAAAATGGACATAGACGCGGGGCACATAAAATTTCCATTTCTAAATGTAAAAATTTATGATTTGCATAACATTGATACGTATTATTGGAACGCGTATCAAATATACATATAAACATTATTGCTTATTACATACTGCTTTTAGAATACTGTGTAATTCACATTTTATTCATTTATTTATTAATGAAGCACGAAAATATTTAGATAGTTTTTTTGACATAATGCCACTTCTTTATGGCAATACTTCTCTTAGCATTAATGTACATAATTTAACTCATATTGTTGATGACGTAGAATTTTTTCATTGCACACTGGATAACATATCAGCCTTTCCTTATGAAAGTATGTTAGGCAGAATAAGAAAAATGATTCGTACTGGTAATCATCCTCTATCACAGGTGTGCCGACATCTTCATGAAATGAATAATATTCCAAAATTATGTACAACTTCCACTCATTGTCAGATATCTATTTTAAAACAAAAAAATAATTGCAATAATCAATCCGTTATACTCAAAATAAATTATAAAGGATTTACATTAAGTACTAAAAAACCAAATAATATTGTATTATTAAAAAATAATATAATAATGCAAATAACTAACATCATGTCTAATACATTACAAAGTAATACTTATGAAATTAAAGGATATGCTTGGAAAAAAATAAGATATATGTATACGTTCCCACTACTGTCGAATAATTTACAAGAGTGGAAATTAGCACCAAATGTATCTTCTACAATAATTTCTTGTAATGTACACGATATTTATAGTAAAATTCTTGTAATTCCAATACTTCGTAAAGAAAATAACAAAAAAGTCGAGGAGTTTTATGCTTCTGCATTATTACATACCGAGGAATATTAATTGTAATTGTATATTGTATTGTGTACTGCATTGAGATTCATATTAAAATGTTAAAGTGTTCAAACAATTTTAATAAAAATAATAGTTTTAATATAATTTTGAATGTACATTAGTATTATAATATTATAATAATGGATTAATATTTTTATAATAGTCGTACTAATAATAATTGTAATACAACAATTGTAATTAATTATAACATATTTAAGGGTTTTGTAAAAATATTATGTGTTAAAAAACAAAAATTATAAAAAAACTGAAGTAAAATAAAAAGATTAAAGAATATAATTTTTACATAAACTATTATTTAGAAAATTAACTGCTTACATAGAAACTACTAAAAAATAGAGAAATTGGATAGAAACTGAAAACAAACTGGTCAAGAAGTTTTAAAAAACTGATTAGAAACTGACACAACGCACAAAAGTAATCCGAGTAAAGATCTGTAAGGCGAAAAATTACATGTAGTTTGAACTTACAAATCTTATTAATATCTTTTAATAATGTAGTGAGCGTGGCACAGAGAAATTTGCGCTGCTTAGTAAATAAATGATCCGAGTTCGAAACCAGCCAGAACGCGCTGGTTTTTTCGGGCGCCGTTTTTCGAAAGAGAAGTGGTAATACCGATAGTATCTCGCCACACATATACCCCTTTAGCGGCTAACGAGAGGGGATTGCCGGTGTATAGGCAACACAAGTCCACGAACTCCAAGACTCCTCTATAGATGAACGCCTTTATAAAATCTGCTGCTCTTTGGAGATGTCCGGGGTCTCCGGCACTGCCGCGCCTGGGCGACTTGTTCGTGGAGTCTTGGAGTTCGTGGACTTGTTTTGCCTATAATATACACCGGCAATCCCCTCTCGTTAGCCGCTAAAGGGGTATATGTGTGGCGAGATACTATCGGTGGTTACCACTTCTCTTTCGAAAAGACGGCGCCCGAAAAAACCAGCGCGTTCTGGCTGGTTTCGAACTCGGATCATTTATTTACTAAGCAGCGCAAATTTCTGTGTGCCACGCTCGCTACATTATTAAAAGATATTAATAAGATTTGTAAGTTCAAACTACATGTAATTTTTCGCCTTACAGATCTTTACTCGAATTACTTTTGTGCGTTGTGTCAGTTTCTAATCAGTTTTTTAAAACTTCTTGACCAGTTTGTTTTCAGTTTCTATCCAATTTCTCTATTTTTTAGTAGTTCTATGTAAGCAGTTAATTTTCTAAATAATAGTTTATGTAAAAATTATATTCTTCAATCTTTTTATTTTACTTCAGTTTTTTTATAATTTTTGTTTTTTAACACATAATATGTATTTTAACACATAATATTTTTACAAAACCTTTAAATATGTTATAATTAATTACAATTGTTGTATTACAATTATTATTAGTACGACTATTATAAAAATATTAATCCATTATTATAATATTATAATACTAATGTGCATTCAAAATTATATTAAAACTATTATTTTTATTAAAATTGTTTGAACACTTTAACATTCTAATATGAATCTCAATACAGTACACAATGCAATATACAATTACAATTAATATTCCTCGGTATGTAATAATGCAGAAGCATAAAACTCCTCGACTTTTTTGTTATTTTCTTTACGAAGTATTGGAATTACAAGAATTTTACTATAAATATCGTGTACATTACAAGAAATTATTGTAGAAGATACATTTGGTGCTAATTTCCACTCTTCTAAATTATTCGACAGTAGTGGGAACGTATACATATATCTTATTTTTTTCCAAATATATCCTTTAATTTCATAAGTATTACTTTGTAATGTATTACACATGATGTTAGTTATTTGCATTATTATATTATTTTTTAATAATACAATATTATTTGGTTTTTTAGTACTTAATGCAAATCCTTTATAATTTATTTTGAGTATAACGGATTGATTATTGCAATTATTTTTTTGTTTTAAAATAGATATCTGACAATGAGTGGAAGTTGTACATAATTTTGGAATATTATTCATTTCATGAAGACGTCGGCACACCTGTGATAGAGGATGATTACCAGTACGAATCATTTTTTTTATTCTGCCTAACATACTTTCATAAGGAAAGGCTGATATGTTATCCAGTGTGCAATGAAAAAATTCTACGTCATCAACAATATGAGTTAAATTATATACATTAATGCTAAGAGAAGTATTGCCATAAAGAAGTGGCATTATGTCAAAAAAACTATCTAAATATTTTCGTGCTTCATTAATAAATAAATGAATAAAATGTGAATTACACAGTATTCTAAAAGCAGTATGTAATAAGCAATAATGTTTATACATATACGCAATGGAAATGTCTCGCGATTAAAATCACATTTCTAACTTCTTGGATTAAAAATTTATTAGTTATATCTTATATTTCCACCGTCTGTTTTCTATTAGTTCTTCATTTATGTTTTCACTTTAAACTTCTTGTACTCTTTGTATGAAACTGGACTAAAATATATCTCTTGTTTGAAGCAACGACACTTAAATCTTGTATTTTTGTGTTTCATGTATTGCAACACGTGTATGAAATAAAAACAAAAATGCATCGCCTCTGCACGAGAAAAGCGACACAAGTCGAAAATAGCAATTTTACAAGAGAACGAGTTAAAACGTTCAATCTGCTCGCACAGATTGTACGCAGGTATTACAACGTGGTCTATTAAATTGTTTTCATCCTTTCTCTTTTCTTTCCTTGATAGACCTGTCACCATAATGTGACAATCGTACTTTTCTGTTGAACGTTCCGTTTCTTTGCCATCGCTATTTTTGAACGCAGTGTTCACTTTAATTCTCCTCCGGGCGAAATTTGTCTAATTACACTTTTCTGGATAAAAGTGCATACGTTTACGAGTTGATGCAATAAATTATAAAGACTCAAAAACTCATACTTTTTGACCTGTGTCACTTGCCTTGTGCAAAGACAATATGGTATACGCGTAACGTTATGAATAGAATTCTATCCTGAATTCTGACGCGACTTATAGATCGTCTAAAGTGGGTTTGAAAAAATAAGCAGGAAAAGACTTTTATAATCATGCCGCTATTTCCGGCTCTTTCCTGTATTTACGATTCTACTTAAAAGGGGCGCGTAGCGCTACCTTCTCATAAATGATTATTTAGGTCATTTCCACGGCATTTCCATAAGTTAGAAGAATATAATGCTAGGTATCGCTCAGAAAAAAAAACTATGTTTATGTATTAAAAGCAATGAAAGAGTAATCTATTATCGCGGGAAATTAAATATTTAGAGGATATCGACTCAAGAGCTGAGATAAGTGTGGTATCGCACGCACCTTTCGTGCGGTATGATTATTACCATTATTTATTTATTGCGCACACAGAGATATATCCCACGTCAAAAAAGACTCGCATCTAAAAAGCAACTGTGATCGTTAAATTTTTATATTCTAATTTTGGGGATGAATGCTTCACCACGACAGGAAGGCGAACTTCAATTATTCAGCACATTCACTTTAAATCTTTAAGATACTTTCTTACTGTTTCAAAGATACGACGTGATTTCTTCCTCGCGCTTGTCGGGTCTTCATGACAGAAGCACGAGCAAGGGGAATTTTAATTATGTATACAACGGTATATGTGTTCTCTTTCCCGTCTATGTCATTTCTTATTGCATTTAATATGCAAAATTATTGAAACTTTTTTAGCAAATAAATCGTGACGTCGTGTGGAGCGTAGGATGTAAAAATTAGATTACTTTTCTTCGCGATAATTTTTAAATTTGTTATAGTAGAATACATACATGTATATGTGCGTATTAGAACCATATATATATATAAACTATACATATACTGTATACAGTTTAAACATTATATATAGAGGAAAATCCCCTATGAGATAGCGGAGTGTCTGCTAAATTAATAGACACCATCTGTTGGTTCCACCATGGAGTTATTGCCCTTGAGGTGAAATCTGTTTAGTGGCAAATTGATTGTTAGTTCGTGTAATCGTTGCGAGAAACGATTTGTGATTGAATTTGGACTTTGAAAGCCTACTATCTCACATTGGAATCCTATCGTACAATAGAGGACTTTTCTCTATACATTATATTCAAGCTATATGTTTAAATTATTTTATATGTACACACATATATTTGACAGTTAACGGTAAAGTCGAAAGAAGTTTTATGAGCGTCTGATGCGATGATTCTAGAGGGAGAGAGGATAGTGGAGAAGATAGCAGAGACGGGGGTAGCTCGAGTCATCGTGAACCTCGGTCGACTCCGGATTGGGGTCCAAATGCGATTAATGAGGAACATCTTTGGGTACCAACCGCTACGTCCGGTGATTTCTGTTACGTCAACGACTGTTCCGTAAGTCCCAACGATAATGCGCAGAAGGATGCGAGAGGACGCTTTTCAAGAACAAAAGACGCATCGGGGATTTGGATCAATCGGATCGTTATGTGCCCCTTCTTCTTTCTCCCTTTCAGAAACACGGACCCCGGTTGAAGTGTCCGGCTTGTCGTGTAGTGGCTCATGCCTGCTGCGTCGGAAGTTTAGAGTTCGCCTGCAAGCCGAATTTTCGCGATGTAGGGGTACGTCAGTATCGCGAGCAAACGACGACCCATCACCACTGGGTCCATCGACGATCGCAGAAAGGCAAATGCGCTAATTGCGGCAAGTCCTTCCAATCAAAGCTCAGCTTTAGCTCCAGGGAGATCGTGGCGGTTAGCTGCAGCTGGTGCAAAGCCGCTTACCATAACAGGGAGTCGTGCTTCAACGTGCAGAAAATAGGCGAGAATTGTGAGCTGGGCACTCACGCATCGATTGCAGTACCGCCGTCGTGGATCGTGAAACTTCCTCGTAAAGGTAGCTTCAGGAGTAGCTTGAGAAGGTCACACAGAAAGAAGAAGTCCGGCGATGGCTCATCTTACCGGCGGAGGAGCAAAGAAAAGGAGAAGGAAGAGAAGGAGAAAGAGAAGGAAAAGGAGAAGGATCAGGGAGAGTTGTGGATCGTCAAGCCCATACCCACGGCTACCGTGAAGCCAGTGTTGGTGTTCATAAATCCAAAATCCGGCGGTAATCAAGGGGCGAAATTGTTACAAAAGTTTCAATGGCTGCTCAATCCAAGACAGGTTTTCGATCTGACGCAGGGTGGTCCAAGAATGGGGTGAGTAGACCATCCAGCTAAATAAAAAGATGTCTATAAAACGACTGGCAAAGGACGACACATGATGCAGAGAGGAAGGAAAGAAAAATCTTAATCTTGCAGACTAGAACTTTTCAAGAAGGTCCCAAATTTGCGCGTATTGGCCTGCGGCGGCGACGGTACGGTCGGTTGGGTCCTGTCGATTCTGGACCAAATCGGCGCTTATCCAGCGCCAGCGGTCGGGGTACTTCCTTTGGGCACCGGCAACGACCTAGCGAGAGCACTGGGATGGGGAGGCGGCTACAAGGACGAGCCGATCGGCAAGATCTTATCCAGCATAAGTGACAGCGAGAGCACCCTGTTGGACAGGTGGCAACTGAAGGTCGAGAGGAACCCCGATGTCAAGAACGACGACGACGGCGGCAAGGGCAAGGAAAACCTGCCGCTCAATGTGGTTAACAATTACTTCTCACTTGGTGTGGACGCTCACATCGCCCTCGAGTTTCACGAGGCACGAGGTGAGACCCGTAGACTTTTATTTACTCGCGCCGCCGATTATTATTAGCGAAATGATATTCGAAAATATCAAGTCGGTACGTGTTGTCCTAGTTTGAGCGGGAGATCGATCGCGTGGGCGATCAAGGTTCCGTTCTATGATTTCGACGAGGTCAAAACTCGTTGCTCTCAAGAGTTCCGACCTCGTTTCTATTCCTTTTGTTTGTCTTTTAATGAAATTGAATCTTTCTTGCACTCTGGTGTATGTGTAAAAACAAAAAGAAGGATGTCGTCTAATGAACTTTCCGCGATTCACTTGTAGAGGCTCACCCGGAGAAGTTTAACTCCAGGATGAGGAACAAATTGTTCTACGGACAGATGGGCTGCAAGGACCTGCTGCTCACAAAGTGGAAGGACCTCTCGGATTTCGTGACGCTGGAATGCGACGGTCAGGACATGACGCCGAAGTTGAGGGAGCATCGGGTCCACGCCATACTGTTCTTGAATATCGCCTCCTACGGCGGCGGGACGCATCCGTGGAGCGCGGGAAGCGGCACCAGAGAACCCGCGATGGACGATGGCTTGATCGAGGTAGTCGGTCTGACCACCTACCAGCTGCCTCTTCTGCAAGCACGTGGACACGGCACCTGCATAGTGCAATGCAGCACCGCCAAACTGGTCACGACGAAGACTATACCGATGCAGGTGAGTGTGATTTGTTCCGCTTCTCTCCGTCTATCTTTGATCGCACAAGTCCTTTTCTTTAACAATGCGATTCCAAGCCGTCTTCCTTTTGCAAAACATAATAAATATACAAGTATGTTTCTCTAGATTGCCAGCACTAATAATAATAAACTTTCAAATTTCAATCGATCGTTGTCAAAGCGTATTTAATAAATGTGGCCAGCTGAGGTCGACTGAAATTTTATAATAAATAGATTTTAATTATTGAATATATTTATCATATATTTGTGGATAATGGGAGATTTCAATATAATAATCCCAGTGAGAAATGCTCGTCGATCGATGTCGAAGTCGTCAAATCGATTCGACATCGTATCGACGTCAATCAACAAATCATTTCTCGCTGGGATATTTTTAATGAAATGTTGTAATGTTTTTATTCCGATAACATTATCGTTCTTGATTTTTACTGTGTTACAGGTCGACGGCGAAGCTTGTCGTTTGTTACCATCTATCATAACTTTGGGCATGTTGAACAAGGCTACGATGTTAGCGAAAAGAAGGAACGCGGGAAAGTCGCACCAGCACACAGCGAGATTAGACAGGCTGAAGCTGCCTGTGATGAGGATAAAGATGTCGGATTATGAAGCGTACCATCACAACAAGGACAAGTTGAAGCAAGTGGCGGAATCGTGGCTCGCGGAACCGCTCGATCTCGATGCTGCGACCGATCTGGAGAGCCTGAGGAAGCTCCTGACTAAAGATTACAATGTGGATTCGTGCTGTTTCCTCGATTGTGAGTGCCGTCTGTCGCGCGGACGATGCCGCAGATCGGTGCGATCCTGCGTGCGAAGAAAATGTAAAAAGTGCGATTTCTGTTGTTTAGCGTGCACCGCGGAGAGATTCTTCAGGATCGACCGTGGCCAAGAGCAGCTGCATTACGTGACGGACGTCGCCGTGGACGCCGTTTACATCCTCGACGAAGACGCCGTGCAGCAGCAATCCGACGGCCAAGCGGGACCAAGTCAGATTGTCGCGAGTCAGGAAGCCGAAAGCGCGCAAATCCGCTTCTCGAGGTACGCGAGGTGTTTCCGCCCGGATCCAGTGTCTAGATTTTTTTTTCCTTCGAAACGCATGATATGATGTATGATATAGCGACGAACGTCTAAAGGACTCGGCAGCCGCGACAAAGAGGACGAATCGACCGAACGAAGATAGGCGGGGACAAGAACAGCCCTCCGTCGCCGGGAAGATCAGACTTTCCAGACAGCCGGAGAGCGTTTCGCTCGATAAAGAATCCGAAGGGCGGAACGGCGTGAGGCCGAGGGACCCGGCGAGCCGGAACCCCTTGGACGCGCCGCCGAGCGAGAACAAAAACGGCGAGTCGAACTCTCATATAAGACGCGAGTCCCTGAAGCAGAACTCTCATGTCGCAATCGCTCGTGCCGAACAGTCGCAGCACCAGGCTGACCGATCTCTCGCTTTTATCAGGTAAGGTTCTCAGAGTCTCACCTCGGCGTGCCGTTAATTATCCGAATGGTCGAGAGCCAAGAAGGGTGTCTGTGCGACGTTAGGAGGCAGGCAACTACAAATGAAGATCACTGGCGGCTCTCAAAGCGGGTAACGTAGACCTTTATTACACACGAGTGCCTTTTAGACGGTGTAAAAGGTATCGCGATATATTATGGATTATTCTAAAGAAAAACTCAACACACACGAGCCGACACGTACGTTACGTAAACCCTCATTCGACCGTGCGTCTCAATTATCTTTGCTCGAATAATTTATTCGGATAATAATTATTCGCTGTCCGCGACGCGGTTGGCGCAGAAGTTGGCGTGCGAGGGATGGGCGCTGACCTAATCCCCCGTTTGCATTTGCAGCCCTCGCGACAGACTCTTTGGCCTGAACTCGGGAGTTCACGGATTCACTGCTGAGCTGCTCGAGAAGAGCTGCGACGAGATACTGAGAGCGGCGAAGATCGGCGATCTGCCGACCCTGAAGCAGCTCCATCAAAAGGGGTACTCGCTTCTCTCGATCGATGAAACTGGCCAAACGGCGCTACACCTCGCGTCGAGGCACGGCCACAAGGACATCGTCAGATATCTTATTGCCTGCGCCCCGCCGACAATTTTAAACATGATCGATAATGACAAGTAAGTTGGCGAACGAATCGAACGAGACTCGCGATGCAATTGAAAAATTCACCTCGCGAGCGCGTACACCAATCGCCGACGTTTCTCCCAGTCGTCCCTTTTTACTCGCGCTGCTCTGTATTCCATTCATCCCGATTATGAGAGCGAGAAGTAATCTATTTCTATTTCAGAGGGCAAACCGCCTTGCATAAAGCTGCGCAGAATAAACGCCGTTCCATTTGCTGTATGCTCGTAGCCGGTGGCGCGTCTTTGATGATGAAGGACCGGCACGGCAATACGCCGCATCAGCTCGCGCTGATTGCGGAGGATCACGATCTAGCTGCGTATCTTCAAAGTAAGTAATCCCGAGCTTCCGATCCGTAGGACCGATCTTCCCTCGATTCGTCAGGGCGGAAGGAATGTTGAAGGGTGTCTCATTAATAAAATCTCGTTTCTCTAGAGTGTTAAACATATAGCTCTAAGTACCTGAATATATACGAATTGTAACGATGTGTGTCACCAGGTCAAGAACACTTTCAATTGGCGACGGACGAGATGGAGAGCGATCTCTGACCTTCAGCGTTGATCGCCACGGCCTGAACCGCCCTGAACGACTGTGACGTAAGAGCCGCTATTGTCAGCGTGCTGACGACGCTTTTCGCGGCATTTTTTTCGGCGACATAACGTAATTCGCTACGTGTGATAATCTGATATTCCTCGTCCGTTCAACGTCGACGATTACGTGTTTGCCAAATGCTGACGTATTTTTCTTGTCGATACCTCGAAATTACTCTTTAGGACTCAATTATCACATAATTATCTACACACACACACATATACACACACCCACATACACGGACACACACGCGTACATTTATACGTAACTATGTAGCTGTTTCTAATCGATAATAAGTCCTTATTTTTCTCACTTGTAAACTTGCCCGAGGCTTGTAGCTCTACTTACATTCACGTACTCGGCAAGTGGACCATAATCGGTCAGGGAGCACCTAAAATTGTTCCTAAGACGAGTAAAATTTATTTTTTCGTACCAACATTTAACGTCTCTCCGGCCCGAAATGGGACAGTCAGTTTTGTATATCTAAACACGCCCATTATATATTTACGGAAGATTCTACAGCATTACAGTCTCGTGCAAAACAAACAGACAGAATAAAGCCGGCCGTCAGATTTGCGCGATTACAGAGAGCGGACGACTGTATGTGGAGTGTTCATCCCGGTGATGAAACGTTAAATCTGTGCCAACTGACTGAGTCACGAAAGAATATTAACGACAATGCCAAAGGGAGATTGACTGTCTCATGTTGGGGCACATTGCAAAAGTATATATATATACACGTATATACGAAACGTTCATAGTCTCCACTCGAAAATGGGTGCTACAAGCGAATCGATAATCTGTTAGTTTTAATCCAGGGAAAATAGAAGCTAAAACCTTAGCGAGAGAACGGTGCAAACGAAGGTACATTCTATACATACCAAAATGTAAAAAGGGATCAACGTACGAACACCAATTAGTAGCTAGACGCAGTATCTATCAATATTATTGTACTATTGCTATTACTATTATACTATTACTACAATTATTTTTCTGTCGGATTGATATGAGATCTATGTACATATACGTGTAGAGTTTTTGGGGCGCTCATCGCTTGGATTTGCGCGTATTCTAAAGAAAGGACGCCGCTCACAAGTCAATACGATCGTGCACGCAACGATTACTTTCTTTCGCGCGTCTTAATCGAGCCCATTTACTTATCGATTCTGTGATCCCCTAGAGAACCAGTTTATATTCTGTTAAACTTTACGAGAAAGTGTGTGTGAAGATTTCGTACGGCGGCGAGTACATCCTCTCTGTCCTTCTAAGAAAAAAAAGGCTTTTTAACTCCAAAGACATTGAAAATTGTGCTATATTGTAGTTTTTGGGATCATCTTTTAGACTCTTCCTAGACAAAAAAAAGTCTTATCTCTATTTCTAGTGTTTTTAAATCGCAAACGAAAATACACCTCGAGTACCAAGCTAATTTAGAACTGAAGTCACCTAAAGAAGATGGTAAAATTAACAAACTTTATCAATTAAATTGTTGATTAATTATTACAGTTAAATGAATAAATAATAGGCCTCGAAGTTGCAAAATTACTTAATGTTAATGCCAACTAAATGTAATCGTCATAAAAAAGATTTCATTTCTGGAGTAACTCTAGTAGCACAGTGCATTGGCTGAACACAATCAAATATTGGGCCAATGTGTAACCAATGTTTGGTCATGTCACTGCGCTACTAGGCTTCTTTCTTAGGAGGGTAGCTCTGTTGTAATCTCTTTTCTTCGCTATCAGATATTATTCGTATACTGATGCTCAATAGTTCGTATTCTTTGCTCGCCGCAAAATGGCAGAGAAATTATTAGGGAGCAAGGGGTGCGTATCGAACGTGACCGAACGATCGAGTTGTCTTTAGATTTTAAAATGATAATTGTTGCGAAAGTATTCATAGTGTCAGCTCCTTTCAACACGCGAGAGGTGATCTGTGACAGTGTCTTGTACCAATTCAATTTTGAATTATTCCTCGTCTCAGGATGGAAAGTGTGTACAGTGTATCGAGACTATTGAGTGTTGGTATTGCAGGAGTTGCGCACTCTTTTAAGTCTAGGTCACGAGCGATTTTCCAATCGTCTCGTCTTGCAGCGGCGAGAAAATCAGTAATGTCGACTCGAGTGAAATCTTGACACCGCGTTTCCCGACGAGTCAACAAAGAGGAGAGAATTGCCGCTGTTTTGTGACTGTTAAGTTTCACGCGAGGATGTAGATAACTTACGAAACTTTGTGTTCGACCGCAACTTAAGAAGACGAACAATTATTGTAACGGCGAGTTTACGCTTTAGGTTTTCGTTAGGTCGCGATATACATGTGTAACGGTGTAAATTACGAACGTCGGTCTTTCATCGATTTTCTCTTGAGAAAAATCGACTGCGCGCTCGCGGTGGAGGATGGGCGCGATGTCTAGAACGTCCTCGCTTATCTTTACCGCTCTTTTAGAGTATTTAAGAAGAAATGCCTTTCGCGATCCGTACCTGTTGTACCGTTGTACTGAAAAAAAAAGAGAGAATTTAAAGCGAGAGAATACCTGCAAGGATCGTTGTAGGATCATTATAGGGCGCGTAAGAGTACATAGCGCGCGTTATCGGGCACACGCGTGTAATGTATATCGAGAACGGAGAACGAGAGTAGCGTTAGTTTTAACGCCCGATAGCGCAGCGGCATTGGAACCGGTGCGATCTCGCGAAGATCGGTTCTCGAAATTGTCGAAGCGCCGGAAGAAAAGGGGATGCGCCTTTTTCCGTTAAGCCCGCATCAGACTACGTATTGAGACTGAGATTAGATTGAAATTTCACCGATCGGAGTGAAATTCATTAAACTTGATATTAGCAAACTTTACTCCGACCGGTCAAATTTCAATCTAACAAGAATAAAGACTTGTTGTCGCCAGTAAACAAATAAGCAATGTAGAAAATTAATAGCCGACACAACTGGCAAGTTCTAATTGAAGAAATTTATTGCGAAAATTATTACCTCAGCCGGGATTTGAACCTGGACCTCCCTACACTCTATGTCGAATTGATGAGACGCCTAGAGTGTAGGGAGGTCCAGATTCAAATCCTGGCTGAGGTAATATTTTTCGCAGTAGCAAACTTTACTCCGATCAGTCAAATTTCAATCTAACAAGAATAAAGACTTTTTGTGGCCAGTAAACGATTAAGCAGTGTAGGAAATCAATAGTCGACACAACTGGTAAATCCTAATTAAAGAAATTTATTGCGAAAAATATTAACCTCGGTCGGGATTTGAACCTGGACCTCCCCTACACTCTAGGTCGAATTGGTGAGACGCCCGCCCGGAGTGTAGGGAGGTCCAGGTTCAAACCCTGGCTGAGGTAATATTTTTCGCAATAAATTTCTTTAATTAGGACTTGCCAGTTGTGTCGACTGTTAAATTCCCACGTTGGTAAATTGCAATCTAATCTCGATCCCTAGTCCGATGCGTTCTCGCGGCAAATCCGCGAATTCTTCTACTCGTCCCCGCGATCGTACCGGTTACAATTCTCGGATAGTATTAGGCCTGAGATTTAAAAGAAACACACACACACACTTACAAAAGAAAGAAAAGAAGAAGGGAAATTAATTTCCCGGAATATATAGCGACGCCTTTATATAGCAGCGGTGAGGGCGCTGGCTCGGCTCGCAAATCTCGATTTTAAGTTTTTAGAGCAATAAATTGACGACAATCACGATATTTCGGCATAAGCCAGCGCTCGGGCCGCGACTGTTACTTCTCTCCCGTCCGTTCCCTCCCCCCCTGCTCCGTTCCTCGTTGAAATTGAAGATTGTCTCGTCCGTTGTCGTGTGAACAATGAGACTCCGTGTGCACGCTCCATTTTTGTCGATAGACGCGCGACAACACACGTTTACACATGACGGATACGCACGCAAGCGACTTCGAAGATGACAATTTAAACAAAAGTCGCACTTGATCACGTGGTTATTAAATAGTAAGCATAAAGTATTTGAAAAAGAAATTTAAATTAAAAATGTTTCAAATAGAGATAAAGAGAGATGAAAGAATTTTTAAATAACTATATATAACATATATAAATCTTAATATCTTCTTTCCTCTTCCTTCTTCTGTCTGCATCTTCCTATTTCGCCCCTTACGATTTTCCCACAAGTCTCTTGCAGACCTAGTGATATTTCCACGAACGATACATGGATTTAAATAATTTTCAAGCCAATTAATCGCGAAAGATTCCTTCGCCGCTGGTGTGCATATCCAGGCAAGGTGATTTCTCAGCCCGCGGCAAAATCGCCGCGCAGCAAGAAAGCACTGTTCGTGTACACGGAGTCCGGATCCTTAACGTCCCATTCCCTCTCTACTTCCCATAAAATTTACGAGTCGAATAGAAAATTTATAATCGATATCGTAATAGAATCTTGTTATTGCGTGTTCGTAATTTTAAAGCTCGTTGTACTTGATTGCACTGGACGACGGAGCGCCTCGAATGAGCCTTACTTCCATTAAACCTCTCTTTCCTATCGCGCATAGAAAATAAGTTTCAATTAGGTGTACAAGACACACGGATACATTTACGTTCAGCAGGTAAATTTCTCTTGGCCCAGATTCGTTTCTCGCGTGAGAACAACAACGGACGGATATTTCTGCCTCGGGTTTCATGGATGTCGCAGTATTTCGAAACTCCTCGTACGAAAGAAACTTCAATGTCGTCCAGTCATATTGGAAAATATTACGAAATATTAAATAGTACATAGATCCGAGTTACGGCTATTCTACGGAATTTCTTAACTATTCTAGAGATTATTCATCGAAAAGGATTCTGTCCATTCGCACGTTGGTTCTTCCATCGAACGTGCGTCTCCAGACGTTTTTCCGAGAGAAACAGTTTCCGTCGCCAATATATTTCCATACCACGTAACGATACAAGTAGCTTTTATTTTCTATAAGAATGCAGGGGCTAAACTTTACAGGAGTTTGGTGTGAACATCGATACATTTCTCAGTACGCGACTCGCGCGTATCACGCGGCGCGGAGAGCGTCGTGTGCTCGTATACAAATTTCTAAGTCTCTCGTGGGATAGGCTTGGGGCGGACCAACCAATGACCATTATTATTTTATTAAAATAAACGATATTGCTGTATTATCTGTAATTTTAAATCTATCGAACGAAACGACTCGCGCTACCGGGGCTGTTCCTGAGACAGTTCTCCGAGAACGGCGACTCCAACTCCGGTAGAGATTTTCGCGTGCGAAACTTGATTGCCGTAGGGATGATACGTCCCGCGTAACATTACCTCCCAAAAAATTCCCGACATATCTCTATGTATTTTTAATAATAATAAGCGTATTGTTCAATTCACACGTACATTCACGTGCGGTATATATGTATATATACTCCCCCCCCCCCCTTGCCCTCTTTATTCGGTCAAGCGAAATTATACCAAGTTTCAAATAGATTTAATATCGCCAGTAGTTTAAAACCAATGATATGTAGTTTTTCAAAACGACCTGCAAGACAATGTTTCTTTTTTAAATAAAAACATTGGCCAGTGTAGGTCGTTTTAAAAAACTACATATCATTGGTTACACCAAATTTATTGATATTCTAAATTATACTTGATGAAAAGACAGTTCGAAATATCTTAGGACTAGACAGACTAGAAAGCCAAGTTTCTTGACGAGATTAAATAAATTTAAATAAATATATTTTATCTAAATAAATATCAATAAATGTCTTTCAGTATCTAGTATTTAAAGATAGTTACGAAATACTTGCTTTCGTTGAAGATTCGATTTGACATTTGGTGCTACTTTGAAAATCATCCTGTATCTACATCTCCATCAGTTTAATCGGGGATTATTACGAAAGCTATTTAATTGCGAGGTTTATAGACCTAAATTATGCTTGACAAACAAATACATCTGGTCAATAAATAAATAAAAAGTTTAAAACTCTTCAGAACTGCACGAATCAGAAGTCTGTGGCCGGTGTTCATAGTCGGATCTTATATTCAAGACCGTCTCGAATTTATCTAAAGATGCTGTACGGAACGTTTCATTGGCTACGGAGTATCTAAAGGTGATCTTAAGACGATCTTGAGTATAAGATCTGTCTATGAATACCGCTCCATGTCTATTCGTATCGAGATTAAACGTGAAAACAAATGCATATCTTTTAATAGCTGGCTTAATGGTAATTAAGAACTATTTGCTGTTGTCAGAGATCTGATTTAACGTCTGGTGCTACTTGCAAACCATCTGTCTTCATCTTCATCAGTTTAATTGGGCACAATTACGAAAGCTATTTATCGCAGATACAGGATGACGCCACGGCGTAACCACGAGTCGCATTCCTCCCGCGGACACGTGATCGGTAACGAACAAATTAGTGCCTCCCGTTGGACGCTCGTATACACCGGTATGTCCAGATAATCTTGCCGATGCGTATCCTCGAGAGCGTAATTGTCGCCACCGGATTTATCGTCCGAGTATTCCTCCGGCATAAACGCTATCTGGCATGTCGGAGCGACCGCAACCGCTGCCGCATTTGCATCCAGATCTTTTAAGACACCTTCTTCGATCGAGGCTCCTGTAAGCGAGATGTTGCATAGACCGTCTTTCTTTTAATTATAAATCGAGGGGTCAATTCTGTATCTTACACTGTAGTCAAAGTGCTAAAAATGAATAGCTTTGTCTCGTCCTGACTGTTCGCTCAGAAGGAGACAGCGCCGTTCGCTTTTAGCGTCTTCACTGTAAGACAATGTAAGATACAGAATCGACTCCCTCGACTTCTCGATATGACTGGAAAATTTTCAAAAATTGTCAAACGCGATTCTTAATTGTAATAACTAAGAATTTGATACTGTGAATACTGTATCAGATTCTGTTAAGTCTGACAAAATAATTGATCAGGCCTACCTGATACGAGTAAACCTTCGAGCTGGAGCGATACTCGCCACTCTGTGTTTGTACGACTCTCGGTCCAGTTGGCACGAAGATTAAGCGTTTCCAACGGATGACCGAGCTCCCGTGCAGTGTGTTGCTTCAGGGCGGTTAGAAGAGCCCGCGGACGGGACAGCTGGGACAAGTCAACTCGACGGGGTGTGTTTGTCGCTGAGGATTTCAGCGCCTCGTATTTGGACAGAAGCGCCTTCACGAACTGAATCGTATTTTTCGGGCCCGTTCGCCATTCCGCGGACCAGTGCTTGGGAGTCTTGAATTAGAAAATCGATTACATTTGTTATCACGAGAAAAAAAAATTGTGACTAAACTTTAACTCGGTCCTTTTTAAGATGTAAATCAATTACAAGCGTAAACGCCATTTAGGACCTGGCACAGCTGGAGGTAGCCAATTAAATTACTAAATAATTATATATTTTTAGTACTAAAATAATTATATGAAAGTATAGTTCCACAAATCGAAATCTGCCTTGCCTCGTTAGCTTCGAAAGACGGCGCGTCCATGTCCGTTTGTACAATATGCAACAACTTTTTCGTAAGATCGATCTCGTCGATGAAAAAGTCTTGCAACGGGTTCCCTTTCCGTTCGCT